ATAAGTGCATTCGACCAAGAAGATACAAACTTGAAGAAAACAGAATCATATAAGTACATCAGGTTTCATAGAGCCAAAAACATTTCAAGTGCTACTCAACAGGCTTTAGATAAGCCAGTCCTTTATTAGTATATAAGTGCTTTGATAGTATTACATTACATGTCACTTGTTAGACGCTTTTATCCAAAGCGACTTACATACTCAATACTGTGGACAATCCCCACAGGAGCAATTTGGGGTGAAGTGTCTCAGGGACACAACGACATGCTGACTGCAGTGGGGTTTGAACCTGTGCTCCCCTGATCCAAACACCAAGGCACAACCCACTGCACCACACGCCAACTATAGCTTTTAGATTAATAGAGTAGATTTTTAAAGCAGCATACAATGGAAATACTCAAATAAATTACAAGTACCTGAAAAATGTACCAAAGTGCAGTACTTAAGAGTAAATGTATTATTTTTAATTATTTGTTTGCCTTATCAGTGAGATGTAATGGTAAGTGTAGGTTAATAAGTTTGAAGTGTTACAGGTGTCTTTGTGTGACAGACATACAGCAAACAGGTGTGTGTGTGTGTGTGTGTGTGTGTGTGTGTGTGTGTGTGTGTGTGTGTGTGTGTGTGTGTGTGTGTGTGTGTGTGTGTGTGTGTGTGTGTGTGTGTGTGTGTGTGTGTGTGTGTGTGTGTGTGTGTGTGTGTGTGTGTGTGTGTGTGTGTGTGTGTGTGTGTGTGTGTGTGTGTGTGTGTGTGTGTGTGTGTGTGTGTGTGTGTGTGTGTGTGTGTGTGTGTGTGTGTGTGTGTGTGTGTGTGTGTGTGTGTGTGGTGTGTGTGTGTGTGTGTGTGTGTGTTGTGTGTGTGTGTGTGTGTGTGTGTGGTGTGTGTGTGTGTGATGTGTGTGTGTGTGTGTGTGTGTGTGTGTGTGTGTGTGTGTGTGTGATGTGTGTGTGTGTGTGTGTGTGTGTGTGTGTGTGTGTGTGTGTGTGTGTGTGTGTGTGTGTTGTGTGTGTGTGTGTGTGGTGTGTGTGTGTGTGTGTGTGTGTGTGTTGTGTGTGTGTGTTGTGTGTGGTGTGTGTGTGTGTGTGTGTGTGTGTGTGTGTGTGTGTGTGTGTGTGTGTGTTATGACTGGGAGGGTAAACAGTACAGATGTAATACTGAGGGTGATGTCATGCAGGAAGTGGACATAGTGATAAGTACACACACACACACACAGTAACTGTCTCATATGGTGTCACATGGCAGTTTTAGTGTTTAACCATTACATATAGTGTGATAAGATGACAGGAACACACACACGTTTCTGGGAAAAGGACACAAGTGACATCACATTAAGGTATACAGACATTACCTTTCTTTGTTCTCTTGACTCTACAAGTCATCTCGCCTAGGCTCCACGGGGACGAAAACGGGTTGAATCCGCATATTTCTCATGCGTATAGCCCTTTAAGCTCGACGACGCCGTAACGGAAACGTAGAAACAGACCCCGCAAACGACAACGGGTCCAAAGGTGGTTAGATCTGGGAACGGAGCGCTCTGGGGGGTCCAACGGGGCCGTGGGGTCGCCTATACGGTCATCCGTTTCATAGCCCCGCCTCTTCCCACCTCTCCGCGTACCCCGCATCATTGCTGATGTGTTTCGTTAACAACAACAATAGCTATTTTAATTACCTCTCAAACTACCTAAACTAGTAATAAATATGTTTATTTTTACTGTCGAGTCATCATTACTGGATCAGCTGCTGCATGAGACAGACACTGACGCTGTGAGAAGAGAGGAAAAAGAGACAGGCTCTGTGTATTTTATTTATCATATATCATTATATCGTCGTTATTCATTTGTTTTAAAGCTCAATAAATAACAAAGAAGACCTTTGACCGGCACTTTTATAATTTTGTCCGGAAGATTTAAACTTTAACACACGTTGACCGGCGAAAAACTCTGCCCGGATCCCTCGGCCCCCACCGCGGAGAATAAACAGAAGTGCAGCCATGACAACCATTCTTCTTCGCTGCTTTTGTGGAGGAAGTTGCTGCTTTTGTGGAGGAAGTTACAGCGCCACGTACAGGCTCGGCATATGTACTGCAGCTTTCCCAGCGGTTGGATGTAAACGGAGCCGTCTCGTGGAGCTTGACACAATCCGGTGTATATTGCGTGTGGGCGGAAGGTTTTTTGCGGTTGCGTTTGCGTTACTCCGATGCGTTTTGCCGTATGCGTTCCCATGGAGCTGGGGCCTTTACCTCAAGCTAACATTGTAGAATAGAATAGAATTGGGAGGGATGAAACCCTCTTTAATCGTCACACATGCAGAGCACACAGCACACAGCACACACAGTGAAATTTGGCCTCTGCATTTAACCCATCCTAGTACCAGGAGTCTAGTACTAGGAGCAGTGGGCAGCTATTGTACAGCGCCCGGGGAGCAATGGGAGTGAGGGGGGAAGGGGGGAAGGGGGGTGTCCGGTGCCTTGCTCAAGGGCACCACGGCAGGGCAGGAGGTGAACTGGGACCTCTCCAAGTAGAAGTCCACACTCCATATTTAGGTCTGGTCGGGGACTTGAACCAGCGACCCTACGGCTCCCAGTCCAAACCTAACATTGTTAGGTGTTAACTGAATTACGTTTTAGCAGACTTTTTTAAAATATGTTAATATTGTCACCTTAGAGCCTCTGACACAAAGGTTAACAAAACATTTATTTTGAACAGGATTTAGACCGTTTTTTTAAGTATAATCAGTAGTATATAATTTAACAGCTTTTCTTATTCTCACAGAATAATAACTCATGATACATAAAAAGTGTGAGTGATAATACATTCAACTGAAGTATTTGTAATGTGTACTTGTATCCTGATTTACCGTAAAGATGTAAACGTGTCCTCATAGGGGTACAAATATTCTCATCATTAGTGTTGTTTATTGTTTTCAATAGTCTTTGGAAACTCAGGAGTGAACTGGTTCTCACACACACACACACACACACACACACACACACACTTCACAGAGCTCTTTGTTTCTGAGGGCCAGTGAGCACGAATTGTCTGTTATATAACCATCAGAAAAACATCAAGCAGGATTTAATGATAAACTTCACTGAAAACGTCTGTATATACGTGTCTAACTACACTTTAAATATTTAATAAACCTTAATATTTAACAACAAATGTTCGAATTATGGAGGAACTCATTAATTCATACCCCTACCTCACACAATTGAATGAAAAATGATTGTTTCATTTGATTGTTTGCCTAATAGACCTGAGTAATGACTATGATGGCCTCCTGATCTCTTCTGTAGCGCCACCCTCAGGATAAACTTGGCACAGATGTTTTCAGGTGTTTTTAGAAAGTTCTGTTGACTTTACCAGATAATGTCTGTTTACTCAGACCTGCTCCTGCACAGTGATAAACGTCACCATGTCATATTTATATTACACTGCGGTGGAAATTCTCACCAGGGAGTAAAAATGGGCTGGACCTCTTTCCTCTGCTGGAAACTGTGAGAGATGCTGCTGCTTTTAATCTGGAAACAAAAACATTATACATGTACATCAAACGTGATGCAGTGCCATCGTTGGTGCCCTTCCAGTGGAGAAAATATGATAAGAGTTTTAATGCCACATTAAGGGTGCCCCATAGACTGCCCTGCTAGCTGGTGACCAACGGCATGCAGCTGGATTGCTTATTATTTTTTAAGACCATTACATAAAACCGATAAAATTGTGAATCTGTATTTTAATCTGTGGATCACCAGTGGAGGTGCATGGATTTCAGAGGTCAGAACATTATATTATTGTATATTTTCCTAAAACATCTGATAAGAATTGCATCAAAACGAAATGTTTTCTGACCAAACACATGAATCCCCCAGTCCAACAAAACTAGATACATGTTTCTTTAGCTTCAATATAAATGCCAATAAGTGTGGAGTCTGTCTGTAAAGCCAACTTTAGCCATGCAGTTTAATAGAAACCAGGCTGAGGAATGTTTGTGGTTCAGATCTTTTCTCCACCCAAACACTCTGTGAAGATCCACATGAGACAAACTGCCTTTTCATGTTTTATTACATTTCATTAAACAGCATGCATTCATTTTTAACCACATTTTGACTGCGTGCCATTTCATGTTTATACTGTGTTTGTATAAACAGTGTTAGATGCGGGAGAACATCTATGACATTCACCAAATATTATTATGCATACTAAATGTTAAGCATTCATAAATTAAATCCAGGAAGTAAAGACAGGAAGCTAAAACATGTCCATTGTTTTGTGTATCACTGTTTGCTAATTAAATGTTACTTACCCGCTGTGTGGCTGTATGAATACACAATAATGTGAATTGAATATACTGTATTGTTTTATATCGGCTAACGTCAACTAAGGCCGGCATGCACAAGCGTGAGACTTTTTATCATTACATTTTTCATATAGTAAGGTTTAAATGGAGGCATGTGTTAAAAATAAGTTTTGTACAAGAATACAAAATTACTTAGGGAGCATTATATAAATGATAATTTGTGGGTGAAGTAGTCCTTAATTAAGTCTGAATCAAATATCTTCTGAATACTTAACGTGTAAATAAATAACGTAATGCATTTGAATGACTTTTTGTGTATATGTGTAGAGGTTTATTATAATAAACATGTTGATTAGATATAGAGTCCTCTCAGGGTGTTTTGTGGCAGGCTGCGGTGAGCTGTTCCTAATGTGATCAATAGCCTGTTCAATAAATACACACACACACACACACACACACACACTCTGCTGTTAAAGCACAACTTCAGCTCACAGGTTAACTCCTTAGTGACTTTTTCTGATTAGTATATTTTGCTGATGACTTATCTGTACGAAAAGGCTTTATTTTATTAACATGTTTAATTCAGGACTAATGTCAGTATTTCTAGTTACCACTTAAGTGAAGGAACTGAACTTTTACTGCAGTTTAATGTATGAAACACACACACAAACACACACGCTCACATGTTGACACACACGCACGCGCCCGTGCTCGCGCCCATCGCTGCAGGTAGTAGCCCCTCCCCCCTCCTCCTCCGTGCTGCCGCTTTTGCTTTAAACACAATAACCGCCGCTTCTCCCGACCAACCGTCCTTAGGGCAGCCGGGATTCATGCTTTTTCTCCGGGGTACAACTCACAGGTGAGCCGCTTGTCAAACCACCATGTTTTGAGTTCATAGCTGTCGGTATATTTGAAATTAGCAGCCGTTACTCCTCTCATCCAACCGGCGTAAGCTAATACTACGCTGTCTGTTACAAACACGGAGCCCGTAGTGACCGAAACACCAACCGAATTAGCCGTTTTTGTCTTTCTAAATTAATTATACGATTTAATATTCGGTTTAAGCCGGATTTGGGATGTTCTCCTGCCTTCATTGTTCTCCGTGAAGTTTGCTGGAAGTGATGTAATGCAGCCCGGTTCCTTTCTGCGTAGACCGAGCACCGTCTGCGCCAGACTCCGTTAAAAAAAAGGAGCAGGATTTAGAGGCTCGACGCTTATTCAGCAAACTGTTCACATGGAAGAAGGTAATTTAGCCTTTGTGGTTGATTCTGCGACAAGCATCATTTTATCTGAATGAAATCTCATCTCCAAACTCATTTAGCTCCTGGTGTTCATCACTGTTTTGGAGCCAGGGGATGGTAGGGATAGCAGGCAATTTAGTTTTAAAGTGACACATTTATTTCGGGAAAAGTGCTGTAAGGTGGCTCAAACCCCTATCGAACTGAAACAATGTTCATGTGGGTGTGTAAAAGTAACTTATGGTGGAAAGTAACTAAGTACATTTACTCAAGTACTTAAGTTTAATACTGAGAGTCGTGTAGTTTACTTGAGTATTGACATGTTTTGCTACTTGTACTTCTACCCCACTACAATTCAGAGGTAAATCGTGTAGTTTTACTCCACTACATGTATTTAATATCTTTAGATACTTTGTACATTTGGATTAATAATGTGATAACATTTGAATAAGAATTAGTTACACCTGGAGTATTTGGCAATTTACCCTGTAGCATACAAACTAGCTGCACATTTACCAGCTTTGATAAACACTTTAATGCATCAATAATTCTAATCGAAAACATATAATGTAATATTCTGAAATGGGCCAATATGCATAATGAGTACTTTTAGTTCTGGTAAGTATATTTTGATGCTAATACTATTTTACTTTTTAAAAACGTTTTAAATGCAGAACTACTACCCATACCAGAGTGTTCCTAGACTCTACTTTTACTTAAGTACAAGATCTGAGTACTTTTCCCACCTCTGCTTATATATATATTCTTTGGCAAAGTAACTTTAAAGTGTTAAATATGTGAAGCTTTTGGTGTGGTGGTAGAATGAGATGCTCATTCCTGTGTGGAGACTCAGTTCTGCTGTGGGTTGAGAGACTCGGACTTGGTTACTGAAAATTGTTAGTTGTAGTGTTACAACATGAATCATCAGTTCAAGTTTGGGTTTGTATTTCAAAAACAGCAGAGAGACTGTTTTAAAACCCAGTAAAACCACATGGAGCTCCCTCTGGATGCATAATGCACACACTTTTAAAATGAATGAATACAGCGTGATGCATCGCTTGTCAGATAACGGCGTGCAGACGCTGAGCTTCAAATTAAAGGCACATTATTCATCAGTATTCATGGGAAAATAATGTGTTGAAAGCAGGAGGAGGAGCTTCTCCCAGTCTGCATGATTTACTGGTTATTCACTTACTGGTGGAAGCTGCTGCTGGAGGAATGTGGCGAGAGTAAATTAGAACAATGCATTCACAACAGGGGATGTGATGCAGGGGAAACAACTCTCAGGATTTAAACGGTGAGAAAAACAGAATTTTAGAGGTTTAAAAATTCACATTTTAAATATGTTTGTCTACTAAGAAATACATTTGAATGGTGTAGTTACCCAATGTGAAACTAATCATTTTGCAATGCTACACATCTACACAAAACCGTTAATATTATTTTGTGTACAATTTTTATTTTTAAAATTGGCAAATAAGCATACCAATTTTATATATGCAACAAGCAGCATTTTTTTTTTTATGAGAACTTTGACTTGCACACATTTTTAATTGTTTTTAATATATTTATTGTTAATTTATTTTCTACCTCTAATTAAGAAGATGCAAGAGCATTTTAAAGCAGTTTTAGTTATGTCAAACCTTACTGGTTTAATAATTACATAAAATTCCAGATTTAAATGTTTTGTACGATTATGTGTAAACGTACCTGGCAATAAACTTGATTCTGAGAATTGTGGAAATGTACTGGTATTGATATCGGCTACTAAACTACTGCTATCATAACTTCCCTAATACACATTTATAAATATTAAGTTTAGTATCTGGTTACCTCCACATTGTGTTGACTTTATGTGATTTGTTTTCACTGATTTAAGGATTCAAAGGCTTTTCTGTGACGTAAAAATCATAAGTCTTAGGCCCCTCCAACATTTAAGTCTGGCTCTAGTTCAGCGTGATATTTTTTTTTTAGTAGCGAAACGACAAGACACTAAATCCTCCTTTCACTGGGTGGAAGATTTGATTTTGAAGTGCTCCACATTCCCAAATTCCCCAAGTTATTTTGGTTGCAGCTGTGAAGGACGGCTGTATATTCATGAGCTTTCCCTTTTTTTTTAGTCATTAGGCCTCAAATCTTCCCCCCCCCCGACTCACTGCCAACGAGGTCAGCTTCTCTTCCTGCGCCCAGAAAGCTTCTTAGAAAATATTTCACTCTAGAGATGCTCTTGTGGAATAAATGCGATTTAATTTAAAAATCCTTAGGAAACAAAAAATAGGGGGATTTATCCTTCAATTCATGTCCAGGCAGCGAAGGCTAAATGACCTAATTTTCTCTCTTTAGGATTATCCGCCATCACCTCTCACTATTGAGTGTTTGCCCCGTCACACACACTTCATTTTTAGAAGATATTGATGTGTATGTGATGGAATAAACAGATGCTCAAATCAAATCCTTCTTTTCTTTAGTTTGAATACCCAACATGAAAGAGGCCTGATAGTGAGTTTACTGCGTCCCAAACACTCTGTCTGTCGTCCCCGGGATGCTGCGCTTATGTGATAACGGGGCAATACACTACTTGATGTAGTGTAGAAAACAATGTTTGTAATAATCGTATAACAACAATCTTGAAGGGACTTGAGAACTGGACGGTTGCTGGTTATAGTCCCCGATCGGACCGAGTTCAGAGTGTGGACTGGTTGCCCCTCTTAGTCCACACACTCATCAGCTCGAGATGTGCCGAGTTATCATTTTATATATACTATATATATATATATATATATATATATATATATATATATATATATATATATATATATATATATATATATATATATATGCCCAAAAATCCTAATGCTAGGATAGTTTAAATGCAGAGGCTCATGCAGTCATGTGTGAGGATTGAACATGGATCCAATTTGAATCCTTTATTTCCATTGCATGTAGATATCGATGCATTTGCCTTTTATGGCCAACTGTGGCTCTGAGTTAGATTGGTTGTCCACCAATTGTTAGGTCAGGGTTTTGATGCCCAGCCATTGAAGTCAACATGTTGATACTTCAGCCCAGGTGGCTCCTGATTGCATGGCCACAGCTGTGTGAATGTGTGTGTGGTATTGGTTTTCCTGAGCAGGTGGCACCTTGTATGGCAGCCTCTGTTTCAATGTGGTGTGAATGGGTGAATGCAGAAATTAGGAAATTAGGTTTTCTACAAATTGCCCAACACTCTAATGACAACAATGTGTGAAAAAGTGAATGAAGTCTGGCAGACCCTTTTGGATAAATCAGTAATATGTCTGTCTTCTGACTTCATCCCAGTGTTCCGAGTATATCTTGTGCTATCTCAGCGTTCCTGTTACTATCTCAGTGTTCTCAGTAGTATCCCAGTGTTCCGAGTATATCTTGTGCTATCTCAGCGTTCCTGTTACTATCTCAGTGTTCTCAGTAGTATCCTAGTGTTTCTTGTACTATCTCAGCGTTCCTGTTAGTATTCCAGTGTTCCCAGTAGTATCCCAGTGTTTCTTGTACTATCTCAGCGTTCCTGTTACTATCTCAGTGTTCCCAGTAGTATCCTAGTGTTTCTTGTACTATCTCAGCGTTCCTGTTACTATCTCAGTGTTCCCAGTAGTATCCTAGTGTTTCTTGTACTATCTCAGCGTTCCTGTTACTATCTCAGTGTTCCCAGTAGTATCCCAGTGTTTCTTGTACTATCTCAGCGTTCCTGTTAGTATTCCAGTGTTCTCAGTAGTATCCCAGTGTTTCTTGTACTATCTCAGCGTTCCTGTTACTATCTCAGTGTTCCCAGTAGTATCCTAGTGTTTCTTGTACTATCTCAGCGTTCCTGTTACTATCTCAGTGTTCTCAGTAGTATCCCAGTGTTTCTTGTACTATCTCAGCGTTCCTGTTACTATCTCAGTGTTCTCAGTAGTATCCCAGTGTTTCTTGTACTATCTCAGCGTTCCTGTTACTATCTCAGTGTTCCCAGTAGTATCCTAGTGTTTCTTGTACTATCTCAGCGTTCCTGTTACTATCTCAGTGTTCCCAGTAGTATCCTAGTGTTTCTTGTACTATCTCAGCGTTCCTGTTACTATCTCAGTGTTCCCAGTAGTATCCTAGTGTTTCTTGTACTATCTCAGCGTTCCTGTTACTATCTCAGTGTTCCCAGTAGTATCCCAGTGTTTCTTGTACTATCTCAGCGTTCCTGTTACTATCTCAGTGTTCTCAGTAGTATCCTAGTGTTTCTTGTACTATCTCAGCGTTCCTGTTAGTATTCCAGTGTTCTCAGTAGTATCCCAGTGTTTCTTGTACTATCTCAGCGTTCCTGTTACTATCTCAGTGTTCTCAGTAGTATCCTAGTGTTTCTTGTACTATCTCAGCGTTCCTGTTAGTATTCCAGTGTTCTCAGTAGTATCCTAGTGTTTCTTGTACTATCTCAGCGTTCCTGTTACTATCTCAGTGTTCTCAGTAGTATCCTAGTGTTTCTTGTACTATCTCAGCGTTCCTGTTAGTATTCCAGTGTTCTCAGTAGTATCCTAGTGTTTCTTGTACTATCTCAGCGTTCCTGTTACTATCTCAGTGTTCTCAGTAGTATCCTAGTGTTTCTTGTATTATCTCAGCGTTCCTGTTAGTATTCCAGTGTTCTCAGTAGTATCCCAGTGTTTCTTGTACTATCTCAGCGTTCCTGTTAGTATTCCAGTGTTCCCAGTAGTATCTCAGTGTTTCTTGTACTATCTCAGCGTTCCTGTTACTATCTCAGTGTTCTCCGTAATATCTTGGCGCTCCCTTAAGAATCCCAGTGCCTCTTGTCTGCAGAGCGGCTGCACAGAGTGGCGCTGGTCCAGTCTGGCGTATTAGAGGTGATTATAGCACAGTTTGTGTGTGTCTGTAAAGCTGTTTTGTTATATAACCAATTTTATACAAAATGAGCCTCAGTGCTCACCAGGAGAGGAACTGATCCTGACGCTCTGATTGGTCAGTGTGCTGCCGGGTACCCTTTAATATCCTTCAATTCAAAGGGCCAAAAGTAAAAAAACATAACATTTTATAAACTATGAACTTAACTATTTTAGGAGGAAACTAATAAGTTTGTGTGAATGGTCACCATGGTCGATTTATCTAATCCTGCTGGCTCCATAAGCCCCTAACTGCCCCTCATTTGGTCTGCATCTTACACTTCTATTTCTCTCTAATTAACATTTCACTGGTGTTGATTCGACCTTGGGACCCTGATGTGTTTCTGTATTCTATAAAAAGCTGAAATCTTTGAGGAGAAAGACATTTTTCCTCCTCTCAGGCAGCTGGAAACAGCTTCTCCACGCTTCATAAATGTCATTAAGACCTTTTGTCTCCTTTAACACTTTCCACACCGGGATCCAAACTCAGACAAAAACCCTTTATTGTGAGATGAGGAATAAAGAAACGCATATCTAGTTTTTATTCAGTTGGCTGTGTTTGTCTTCAGTTTTTTGGTTTTATTTCGACAATGAATGGATATATTTAATTGAAGTAAAGGCTGTGTACGGATGGTTGGTGAAATCTAGATACTTGAAGATGTCTACAGTAACTTTTCTTAAATTACTTTAGTGTGGGTTTTATTGGTAGTACATTGATTATTAGAGTTCTTGATTGTTGTTTTGACGAAGCAATATGTTTGAAGACTTGTGCTTAAGATTCATAAAACGGGTATATTTCTACAGTAATTTTTTACATTCTATGACTAACAATATAATTATCATAAATTATAATGAGACTATTTTGTAGGACTAGCTGGCAACTGACTTTTTTACTATGAATGCCCAACAGAAGTCATACATTTCAAAATATTTTATGACTCTGGATTGTTGGTCGGTCTATTAACCTAGGAATAAAAAACTAATAAATTCATAAAAAAAACTGTAAGTTGAGTCTACAGAAGCACTTTAAGGCCCAATCCCAAACCACTCCCTCGACCCTACCCCTCCGTGGCGGAGTGAACTCCGTCTGTAGCCACACTCGCAGCTCAACGAGGCTCCCTCCTGTCAGATGGAGGGAGTAAATACAGCGGCAAGCTTTGGGACAAACTCCCCTCTCTCCGGCAGAAACAGGAAATGCCGTAACTGTATGTATCAACGGTTTCAAATCAGCATCTCTTAGACAAAAAATGTAAATTAAGAACTCAAATAAAACTCCAAACATCTTTCATTGTGTTACTTTTTTGTAAAGCTCTTTTAGTTTTAAACCTGATGTTTATAAGCTTCTTAGTTTTTGCAACAGTCTGTAAATATACACAACTTTATAATAAAGTGCACACATTTATCTTTTTCTAGACTAAACACAGGTATGATCCTAAGTTAAAAAAATATGAGGTTATCATGAGGCTGTTAACATCGCAGTTTATCAGTGGATGTTTGCTGGAACTACTTGTAAACAGCGTGTTTCCTGACGGACACACACAGCGTGACTCCGGTCAGGTAGAGACCGGTCTCAAGTCAGCACCGATGCAGACTCGCTGTTTGAGGGCTTGATAGCCCACTCCCCCTCCACACCGCTCCACACTCGTTGGTTTGGAACAGCACTTAATGTGGCGGACCCTCCGTGCGAACGCGCAAACGGAGGGGTAGTGTGTAGGGGTAGGGTGTAGGGCGTGGTTTGGGATTGGGCCTAAGTCTCGTTCTTGACTCGGTTAGCATTCCACTTCCTGTTGATGTTGATGATCTGTTTGTTGTTGTTGTTGACACGGAAAACGAACAAACGAACGACAAATAAACACGTTAAAGTCCTCTCTCTCAGGTACTCTCCTGCTGTTTTAAACTACAGACCTGCTACAATTAACAAGAAGACAAAACACACACACACACACACACACACACACACACACACAGACAGACAGTTTAATCCTGTGCAGACAGTCTGATCAGGCTAATCCCTCCTCACCCCCCTCTGCTCTGACCGCCAGTTTACCTCCCCCACACACACACACACACACACACACACACACACACACACACACACACACACACACATTCTTACTTCTCTCTCTCTGTTGATTCATGCATGTGCATACTTATTTATTTTTTACAGAAAATTAGGTTACATCCCCAAGTTCGAAAAGTTTTGAAAGCGTCTGAATCTCAGTCCTTGATGTTTACAAAGCATCATGGGAGTTGAGCCGGGTTGACAGCTTTACAAAAATTCAGTTATATTTTTACGATTTTGTGTTCATGAGAAATGTTGGAGTGAATCATTTTGTGCACGCTGTGATTCTTTATCTGAAGTAATTTAGATCAGACTTTTACTAACCCTAACCCTTAATCCCCTGAGTCATAAAGAAACTGATCCTGTGCATGCATTGGTCTCACACACAATGCTCAAGAGAACCGGAAGTGGCTTTTTTAATTTCTTGATGTACTAATAAAGTTATTCTCTGTTTATTATTTTATTCTTATTTTCAGGTTGCATGCCCCCCTAGTCGGGGAAAGGCAGGGCATGCTTTGGTTGTTTAATTATTTGACTTAGAAACTCTATATGAGTCCTTGAAAAGATTGTGCGATAACACAGTACATCAAGTTTTTTCTTTAACACCAATTTTTCAGGTTTTAGAATCTCAAAACATCCTGAAGACCAACTTGAATAATTTTCTGCTCATCGGCACATAATGGAACATTAACAAATCTCACACTTTAAGTCGCTTTAAGTCTTTTTTAAATGAGTTTTGTGACTTTGAGACACATGAAGCCATGGTTCCAGGTCTCATTAATAGATTATTAGAAATTATTTGTATTAACATTGTTGTTATTTACAGCTGCAAAGTGCTGGAACTTAGAAAGTGATAACTATTCTCTATGCAGTATTAAACATATCTTAAAATAGATGTTTGGTGAATACTCAAGAAAATATGATTGTGTGAAGTAGGCCTGCACGATATTGGAAAAAACTGACATTGCGATATTTTCTTCCCCTGCGATATATTTTGCGATATGAAAAAATACAGGAATTGAAGAAAAGACAGTTTTATTTTGTCCGCAAACCATCCTTTCTTGAACTTTAATGCTATACAATTGGTATTTTTCTAAACTATATTTAACCGGATGAAGGATTTTAGTCACGGACGTCTGGATCTTAAGTTATCAGAGCAACAAGCTGAGCTAGCTCGGTTATCCTGCTGTGATCTGATCAAGAATGGTTGTGATTGGTGGTTTGCTGTGCATGCAGAGCCATGTCACTCACTCAAGTACCCCTGACATGAGAGCCGCGCGAGTTTTCCTTTTGTTGCAAGCAGCAAAAATAATTGTAACATGACGTGTTTGAGTTCATTTGCCTACTTAATATTGCACGTCCTAACCCTAACCCAATTTCTTTTTTAAATTTAAATTAAAAAAAATCGCACGTCCTGCGATGTCAATGCGCATGATGCGATTATCGTTACGACACGATATATCGTGCAGCCCTCGTGTGAAGTTAACTGCCAACAATTAAACTTGTTTCTCCTTCCTTCTATCCTACTTTCTTCCTTTCTTCTGCTTTTCACATCCTCTCATCTTCCCGTCTTCCATCTTTCTATTCTTCCTCCTCTTCCTCCTCTTCTCCTCCTGCAGATCCTTCCTGATCCTGTGAGGATGAGTTGCAGTCACGGCTCAGCTGCACGTGTTGGCGTCTGAAAGCAGGGAAAAGGTCATCGCACCTGCAGCACGCCGAGGAACTGATCCTGGAAACTGAGAATAAAGCACCTTCTGGAATATTAACCGCTGACATTTCACGCTGAGGATATTTATAATTTCCTGAATTTTCCACGGAGGACTGGAGCTGAAACCTGAGACTCTGCGGATTAGTTAAAGCCTACATTTTTTTACCTGAGGAATTCATTTGTATTTTTGGAGTTTAGATCTTTTTTCCTTGGAGTCTGCATCACATTTTAAACTGACATCTCCATGGTCGGAGGAAATGGCGACACGAGAACCGACAGCAGGAAGTTGACTCCTGCAGGGAGCGAGGCCGAGAGAAGAGCGTGAAGAAGAAGAAGAAGAAGAAGAAGAGAGAGCAGGGAAAATGTCGTGGAAGAGGAACTATTTTGCGTCAGGTGGCGGAGGAGGAGTTAGCGCCGCTGGTGTTGGAGATGTTACTGGTGGAGGGATGCAGGGCCTGCAGACTCCTCGCAGCATGACGTCCATCGCTCCCAGTAAAGGGCTGAGCAACGAGCCGGGACAGAACAGCTGCTTCCTGAACAGCGCCCTACAGGTAGGTACACACACACACACACACACACACACACGCACACACACGCACACACTTGTTTCACTTTTACATATATATATATACCTTTGTCAAAGATTAAATGTCACATACCAAATGACCTCCAAAAAGTAGAACAAATTATAAATTGACAATAAATATATAAAAACAAATATGAATGAATATTATTTAATAAAATACTTTTTATGTAAACTTTCCGAAACACATTGTGAAAGACTACAATATTGCTATACTGTTGTTTGATTAAGGAGAGCATCAATAGACAAACTGCACTTTAAAATATCATTCCTATATATATATATTTGTTGGTGGTCTATTGGGTTTTTTTGTAAAAAAAAAGCAACACAAGTGCAGATTGAGGAAACTTTTATATTTTTGCCAAATACTATTATCTAATACATTTCAATCAAACACAAAAATGTGAAAATTATACTGTTGCATTGCATCCCTTATTTACTTTGGTTAAATATATTACCAAATGTATATAAGGTCATGATATTAGGTTTTCCACATCCTCAAAGAGCTGCTAACGTGGCTGCAGACTGATGATGACTTGTGCATTAACGGTACGGCAGCGTCGCGTGCTTCAACGGAGACGCTTCCCATTCACTTTGAAATAGGGTGACGTCAGGCTTTGCCGAACTGCATTGTGTGGTCGCGTCGCTTTGAAAGTTCAACTTTTTCAAGCTTCGACGTAAGCGTCATCATATGCCAGTACAAGCGCTAGCCAATCAAACCGCGTGCTTGTGTGTCCGGGGCGGGAGATTAATGTGATTGGTTGTTGGTCGTGCGCCAGACCCGCCCACCGGCAAGCTTGGATGTGTGGACGTACCGTAACAGCGTAAAGTGTACCCTGTGTTACTCAGCAGTACTGTGGCTCCACCGCAGTGCCTTTGAGCCAGACACATGACTCCACCATAACAACCTCCTCTGTACTTACATGAGCCTGTAATGAGCTGCATCACCTCCCACACTGCACATTAAGGACTCGTCAGCTTTCTAAGGAGGAGGTGTGCAGTCAGTAATTATGGGAGCAGTAATTTACCCTGCAGGGTGGGGCTGCTGCTGCTGAACAGGAAACACTCATTACATCGTTTAACTGCAGCTCAGCAGCAACACACACATCAGTGTCTCCTGTCATCAGAAAAAACACTTAAGGTTGTGTTATTGTGCTGCAGCAGGAAGTGTTGTGTTAGCGTTAGCACTTAGCAGGAACGTTAACCAGTTGGGGGGTGCAAGCTTAAAAAAGTAAAATATGATTTGTTATCAATATTAATTCAGTAGTTAAATGGATACAATATAAGTTTAGTGAGTATCAAAAATACACTTTCATAAACAACTTTTTTTATTTGTATTGGTGCCTTTTGTGTTCACATCGGAGTCTGTTATCTAACATTATTTAGTCTTTCCTTGAGTTGGACAAACACATTCTGGACTGTGACTGTGTGTTTTGAGTGTGCTAAGATTTATCTCTAACCTAAGAGAAAATAAATGATAAGAAAACATTGGTGGTTCACATAAATCAACACGTACTAATAAAAAACCAACAGAAACAAGAGGAAATTAGTTCTTATATCTGAGTTGATTCTAAAACCTTTTTAATCCAGTAAAAATACTGAAAACATATTAGGAACACTGTAAGAAAGGTAGAAAAAATAACCAGTGAGAATCCCGGTCTCCACCTAGTTTTGTGTGTGTGTGTGTGTGTGTGTGTGTGTGTGTGTGTGTGTGTGTGTGTGTGTGTGTGTGTGTGTGTGTGTGTGTGTGTGTGTGTGTGTGTGTGTGGTGTGTGTGTGTGTGTGTGTGTGTGTGTGTGTGTGTGTGTGTGATGTGTGTGTGTGTGTGTGTGTGTGTGTGTGTGTGTGTGTGTGTGTGTGTGTGTGGTGTGTGTGTGTGTGTGTGTGTGTGTGTGTGTGTGGTGTGTGTGTGTGTGTGTGTGTGTGTGTGTGTGTGTGTGTGTGTGTGTGTGTGTGTGTGTGTGTGTGTGTGTGTGTGTGTGTGTGTGTGTGTGTGTGTGTGTGTGTGTGTGTGTGTGTGTGTGTGTGTGTGTGTGTGTGTGTGTGTGTGTGTGTGTGTGTGTGTGTGTGTTCTGAACCCCCACCCCCTGAGCTCAGTGTACCGTAAGGACTTCATCTGCCCGTCCGTCTACACCCATCACAGTTTCCCATCGTCAAAATCATAGAAAGATGTGAGGCTGCAGGGTGAGTGGAGCAGAGGGTGAGGAGGCTCATCAGCTCCGACACTTGGTGGTAACAAGCAGCTGCTTGCACGCCTCCATCCTCCTCATCCTCCCTGCTGCTCTCTGAGAGAAATCACCCGGGAAAAATCTAACTCTGATCATGAACTATTAATGAAGTGTTGCTGCTTCGTTGTGAAATGCTTAAAGAGCTTTAAAAGTTATTCCATGAAGTTTTCCTTGTTTTCCTGGCTCAAAAGGGGGAACACAATAACAATGTTAAAAAAACTCCAAAAAAAACGTTTTTTCATTGTCTCACCACAGTTAACTTTAATATCTTAAACCGACAAATATATTTGGAGAAATCACCTTGTGCTGTGTAAACCTATGGCAAGAATATTTCTACATTTTCTGCGATATGCACATGCGCGATATTCACATTCTAAAATCCTTCATCCGGTTAAATATAGTTAGAAAAATACCAATTGTATAGCATTAAAGTTCAAGAAAGGATGGTTTGCGGACAAAAAAAACGGTCTTTTCTTCAATTCCTGTATTTTTTCATATCGCAGGGGAAAAATCGCAATGTCAGTTTTTTCCAATATCGTGCAGCCCTAGTACTGACGGTTATTTACCTGCTGCGTCCTTCAGGAACAAACCAACATATTGGACCCGGTTGGGGGGTCAGGAAGGAGAAAACAAGCGCACCCAAAGTGCTGACACCACAGTGTCCTGTGCTGAGGTCTCGCCACATTCACACCTCACTGCTTCTTATCTAACACACCTTCTGTCATAGTGAGGAGAAAAGGTTCTTTACTCAGCCACCGTCTCGTTTCTTCCTGGCTCTTTTTTTTTAAACCCTTCTCATAAATAAAGAAATGAAAAATTCCTCCCTGTCTGGATTCCTGTCCCTCAGCAGGAGAGGATTTACAGGAAATATTGTTCTTAGAAGCTAGAGCCAGACGTCTAAATAATCTGTGTTTTGGCGTAGAGGAACAGAATACAAATATGAGTATGAGTGAAACACTGCAAGTTTATCAAGCATGGAAATGTAAAATAATAATTTGCAGATAGTGTTCTGAGGGTTACTGATCCTGTTATGTCTGACTGCTCAGGTTGAGAAAACCAAAGCACTATTTGACCATTAAAGCAAGTAAACCTGTCACAGTAGTGGCACAACATTAAAATCTAAACTACCTTGAAAGTGCTGGAATTTGGCTCTGGGGGAAAACATTTATTTTTAGTTCACAATTTATTGACATACCTTCTTTTAGGTGTAAATGTTCAATTTGATCCCCACAATATTTAACTATATAAATGATGCTTGAAGGAAGGTTTTTAATGAGTTGCTTTTGCTGCAGCTTTGAGAACATTCTATTGTTTCCACAGCATGGCACGGTGACGTTTGGGATCAGATCCTTAACTTTATTTCATTAAAATAGGTTTAGATGACTGATGGACAAAAGTATGAAAATAGATCAAGAATGTAAGAGGGGCGGCAAACACTTCTCTCAATCATATTTGTGACTAAATATCTAGGTTATCTGCATGTCTGTTCTAAAAAACACATTGAATTCAGTTAAGATTTGATCAATTCATCTTAATTAATTTGTCTAAATTGATGAAATGCTAGCTTATCTTTAGGGATAGGTAGGTTCTTTTGAAGACAACAAAAAGGTAAATTAACTAAACAAATTGTGAACAAAACTAACATTGCTTTTTATTTAAATTAAATAAATAATATTTCACATTAAAAAAAACAACAGTGTTGTAACAAATCGTATTAAATAATCTGATGACAGAATTGTAAACAGAATGGCTGAAACTTTAACAAAATAAATAACTCAGTTCCCTCTACTCATTAACCCATGTTTGAATAATTGAGTTAACTCCGTGTGTTGCTGCTAGCATACATAATACGTGGAAACGTTACTCGTGGATGGGGCTTCAGAGCTACTAGAGAGACAGTCGAACCCGGTGCATTGCTCCGTGTGGATGTGGTGCACTTTTGATAAATGTTTCGACAGATTGCTCGTGTTACCGCCCTGACATGCTAAACTCTTATTGCACTTTTGGTAACGAGCATTGTCCACATCGAGACGGGTAAAATGTAACCACACCTTGGAGCGCTTAGTTATCTCCGCCATCTCCTCCGTGTGTGTGTGTTGCTGCATGTAGCAGAGCGTGTGTGTAACCGCCCCGCCCCCTCGCACACAGAGAGGGAGAGAGATCTCTCGTCTGGATTGGAAAGATCAAAAATACATCAGACGCATTTTTTTGTCTTTTTGCATATTAGAAACCAGTTGGCGACACTAAGACTGCAATATAATGTTTATGTAGCAATAATACATATGACATGTCTTTTGTTTAATGTCTCCAGTACCGATAGAAAGACGGATAACGTCAGAGTTTAACGGTACCACAGTCTTTAATAATTCAGCCCCTTTAATACCGGGGCTCGGTACCCATCCCCACTTATCTTCCTGCAGCTCAATGTGACACTCCTAAACGCTTGTTTCATTCAAAACTCAGTCACATTTTTATTAAAATGTTTCAAATGCTCTTAAATCAAACTTGGTGAACCCTACAGAAACCTTTAATGGAATATTTAAAACATTGACTATATTAAATAATATCTTTAAATATATTTGAATAACTATAAACTATGGAAAGACTTCAGTGAGAGGCACATTGTGACATTTGTTCTCTCTGACACATGCAACATCATGTCTTGTCACACACACACACACACACACACACACACACACACACACACACACACACACACACACACTCTTTCATGTCTTGTGTTTTTGACAGCTCCTTTCGCTCGAACACACTCCTGCTCGTCCTCGGGTCACAAAACTAAACTTTCTCTCCGATTGGCCGGCTGTGGTCGCAGGTTGGTTTGCTGACAACTGATTGGCCGGTAGCTGTTCTGATGCAAACATGTCATATTGAGTCAGAGCAGCTTTCAGATTTTTCGTATTTTAAGGTCTCAGTTTTCTGCTTTGAGTCTCCTTACTACTTCCTGCAGAGCTGAGCATTTAAAGCATGTGGACTCCTTTTGATAGAAACTTTTCCTGATTTGCTCTCGCTGAAACTTCCAGACCAAACGGCCTTTTGATTTTCATGTTGAGTTGTTCAGGCGATCAAATCAGGTTTGTGGTTGTGTGACGTCACGTCGTGTCACGTGACTTGAATTTTGAATTGAGCCGTCCCTTATAGATACTATCTCTTTACGTATTAGTGATGGGAATTCCGGCTCTTTTTAGTGAGTCGGATCATTTGGCTCGGCTCACTAAGAAGAGCCGGCTCTTTCGGCTCCTAAGCGGCTCTTCAGTTTACCACGGAGCATCAGTTTCGCCGCTGCGAGGCTCCGGCGCTCGCAGTTCACGCGCGTGCTCCACTAGCACCCCCCGTCAAGGCTGGCCGGCAGTACACTTTCCGTCACAGGAACACGCTTTGCTGGCGGCGAAAATAATCCCACCAGACTCCTTTGACCCTCCAACAGAGGGATGTCCTTTTTCCCTTTCGTCATTTCAAGCGATAAAAACTCGATCTTCTCTCGAATTATAATTTTTTTTGGACACCCTCGGCTCGAGTTCAGGGCTCCGAGCTGAATAAGGGCGTCAAATGACGGCAAGACGCCCTCCTGGCGGAAACGCTGGTTCTGCCTATGTCTACAGCCTTTAAATCTTTATTTAATTGTCTTGTTGATATTGTGTCCTTCAGGTTCTGTGGCACCTCGATATCTTCAGACGTAGTTTCCGTCAGCTCACCACTCACAAGTGCATGGAGGACTCGTGCATTTTCTGCGCTCTGAAGGTGAGAATCTTTAAGACTCCTAAAACTGACCCCAGAGCAGCTTCCTGTCTCTAACTCCCTCTCTGTCTCTTTGTCTGTGTCTTTAGAGCATCTTTGCCCAGTTTCAGTACAGCAGTGAGAAAGTATTACCGTCCGACGCACTGCGCAGTGCGCTTGCCAAAACCTTCCAGGACGAGCAGAGGTTTCAGATGGGCATCATGGACGACGCTGCAGAGTGCTTTGTAAGACCACACTGTAAAATCACTCAGGGGTGAATTCCTTTTAGGGTAGTGCACCTAACGCATAACCTGCAAACATTTGACAAAAATACATTTCCTGTAACGGTAAATTGAGGTGTTTGAAGGTGTTTTTAACCAGATGTAATGTTTCTGTTCCTGCAGGAGAACATCTTGATGAGGATTCACTTCCACATCTCAGACGAGACCAAAGAAGACATCTGCACCGCCCGACACTGCATCCCCCACCAGAAGTTCGCCATGACGCTTTATGAACAGGTGAGATGGAGACAGGTTAACCAACCATTGCATCATCATTACCCATTCATCTGGTTTTATAGAGATAGTGTTACATCTCTATTTTCATCCCGTTTCTTTTCCATATTGATTTTGATATAAAAACACTTTTTCAAGTTTAATTGTCAGACGTGATGTTAACCTGTTGTGTGTGTGTGTGTGTGTGTGTGTGTGTGTGTGTGTTTCTTTCTCAGTGTGTGTGCAGCAGCTGTGGAGCGTCCTCAGATCCTCTGCCCTTCATTCAAATGGTCCACTACATCTCCACCACTTCCCTGTGGTAAGTGTGTGTGTGTGACTATAAGTAGCTTTCATCTCAGAAGAGGTAAGTTGAGGCCACACACACACATTCCTGTCGCTAGGTTACATTTCAGGGTCACCAAGGCAACCCACTAATTGCTCTCTTCATCTTCACAGACGCACACACACAGAGGTGATTTGTTGTGATTGTGCTTTAACTCTTATTCACATTAGTGTTTTCTATACACACAGGAAGTGCGTCAACAATTGTGCAACCATAACAGAAAGGGGGAGGTGGTGTTGAAACGTTTTGCCACCTTAATGTCAAGAGCTGTGGCTTTTCTCTGTGATTTGAATGGAAAAAAATAAATGACATGACTCAAAAGTGTCATAAACTATGAAAATCACATCTCTCCTCTCACCCACCTCCTTCCCTCTTCATCATCCTCCTCCCTCCTTTTTCCACCTCTTTCCTCCATTCTCCATCCCTCTTCTCCTCCCCCTCCTCAGTAACCAGGCAGTGAAGATGTTGGAGTCGAGGGAGAAAGCCACTCCTGGTATGTTTGGTGAGCTGCTGCGTAACGCCAGCATGGGAGACCTGCGCAGCTGTCCTGTAAGAAAGAGCACATTTAAAACACTACAATAAACACCAAAGCAATACTCTTCACAGTTGTTTTTTTACTTTGTTTTTTTCACAGACATAGAGAGGCGAAGTCACGCCAATCTACTTCCGACCCATGGGACATTATTTCGGAAAACTTATGTATTGAAGTCAATGGGGAGAGAAAGATTATATTTCGATCCCGTTTGAATTGTGCCACGAATTACACATATGATGTTTGTCAATTTAAAAGATAATTTCCATGTCAAAAAAGTCACAGTTTGTCGTAAAACTGTTGAAATATAAGACTATGGGATTTGTAGTCTTTCTAGTTGCGTATTTTTCAGAGTCCCGGTCCCGCATGCTGGCTCTTACGAACCGACTAACTCCCCTTGTGTGTATGTACAGCTCTCAACATGCCCAGACTTGGAGTGATTTTCACCTCTTTTAATACTTTCCGCCTCATTCTGAAAGAAAGAAGTGAAATGTGCCAACGTGACGGCCGTCTTGGTGTGTGGTGCGAGACGGGAGATGTAGTTCATTGAGCGGTTTCACACAAAAAAAAGTGTTACTTCACAGTTTTACGACACATTTTAATTTTTTTGACTTATCTTTTAAATTGACAAACATCATATGTGTAATTCGTGGCACAATTCAAACGGGATCAAAAGATAATCTTTCTCTCTCCATTGACTTCAATACATACTTTTTCCGAAATAAGGTCCCATGGAGGTCCACCGGAAAGGGAGGGACTTCGCCTCTCTATAACATAAATAGGACATACATGGAGATGCTTACATAACTGCACCTGTTGTACATCAGGGTTAATCATTCATGCCCTCCTTAGACACCAGAAGGATTTTCATATTGTACTAACATTATCAACATATTACAGACATTATCACTCCCCCCTCATCAGTAAAATGGTCGCACAATACCTGAACCATTATGGTAGTAAGAACCAGTGCTTTACTCTTCACAGTTTTAAATCACTAAGTATTGCTCCTCCTCCTCTTCCTCCTCAGAGGGCTTGTGGCCAGCAGCTCCGTATCGCCCGGGTCCTCCTCAACAGTCCGGAGATCATCACCATCGGCCTGGTTTGGGACTCGGAGCAGTCGGACCTGGCCGAGGACGTCATCCACACCCTGGGGACCTGCCTGCACCTCGGAGATGTACGGAGGACTTTAAACACACACACACACACACACACACACACACACACACACATACACACACACACACACATACACATACACATACACACACACACACACACGTTGTTGTTTTGTTTCAACCATTTTACTCTGTAGCACTTTGAGTTTGGTTTACTCAAATGGAAAGTGTGCATATAAATCAAATTGATTATTATTATTATAATATATTGAGATGAGGAGGGAGGCAAGGACACGAGACAGGGGAATGTATGCAGGCTTTTTAAACACACACAGCTGGAAACAAGAAGGAGTATTGAATGTATTCCATGTACTGGGACAAAGTAAATGAGGAGGAGGAAAGAGGGAGGAGGAGAGAGGAGTAGGGAAAAGGTGGAAGTGGACTAGTTAGAGTGGGGAAGGAGGAGTGAACAAGATCTGAATTTAAATAAAAATTATCAAGAACTGACTTGTGTTTTCAAAAGGTGTATCAAATGTATTCAATGTAATGGGATGAATTCAATTTCTGATTCATTTTCCCAGCCCTACATCAGTCCTTAAAGGTAGGGTAGGTAAGAATGGAGAAACCAGCTCGAGTGCGCTAGAATTTGAAAGTACGCAGCCGAAAAAAATCTGCCCCTTCCTTCAGACTTCCTTACAGAGCCCCTCCTCCAACACACACAAACGCGCACATGACCAATGAGGGCACGAGATAAGTTTGTGCACGAGATGGAAGGCTGACAGGCAGGTAGGCCATCCAGTTATTTGAGCCGGCCCGGCTCAGATGATTGGTCGTGCTTTTTACAGCGCCACGGCTTCCACAGATTACATTTTTTTTAAGGTATTTATTGTCAAAGCTTTTAATGTATTCATTGCTATCGGGATGTTAAGAGCATTCCATGGAATATAACAAAAAGTGTTTCTGAAGTGAATTACCTACCCCACCTTTAACATGTAGTGATAGAATTTTTCAACAATCGCTTTAATACAAATCAGTGTCATCAAGGTTCAAGGCTTTTATTAGTCATGTGTGCATAGCTACAGTGTAGTTATGACGATGAAAATCTTAGGTCACAGGCTCCTCCAACAGTGCAACACAATAAAACAGAAAAACAGAAGAAAATAGTGTAATACGTAAATACAAAAGGAAAAATAGTAAAAACGTGAAATAGTGCAAGTGATTGGAATGATATATTAAATAAATAAAGCAGCCAGATTAATCGGTGCATAGAATTAAGAGAATATGCTTTGCGGCTTCACTGAACTCTTGCTCTCTCTGCAGTTGTTTTACAGGGTGACGGAGGAGAAGGCCCGTCAGTCGGAGCTCTACTTGGTCGGCATGGTGTGTTACTACGGGAAACATTACTCCACCTTCTTCTTCCAGACCAAGATCCGCCGATGGATGTACTTCGATGATGCACACGTCAAGGAGGTATGTTCACTCATGCAACGGGAATATAAACACTAATCAAGACATTTTGGGTGTCCTGGCAGCCTCGCTGTGGACAAATGAGGCACCGCTGTGAAGTTAGTTTTAGATAGAGTTTCACTTAAGGAGGCTCAATAATACCCATGTCTCCAAATTACTTAATGGTGCCCTATTATGCTCAGTATCAAGTTCATATCAGTATGTAGTGTCTCTACTTTAAAGAGTCCTCTCCTGCTGATGTTCAGGTGTATATCAGTATGTAGTGTCTCTACTTTAAAGAGTCCTCTCCTGCTGATGTTCAGGTGTATATCAGTATGTAGTGTCTCTACTTTAAAGAGTCCTCTCCTGCTGATGTTCAGGTGTATATCAGTATGTAGTGTCTCTACTTTAAAGAGTCCTCTCCTGCTGATGTTCAGGTGTATATCAGTATGTAGTGTCTCTACTTTAAAGAGTCCTCTCCTGCTGATGTTCAGGTGTATATCAGTATGTGGTGTCTCTACTTTAAAGAGTCCTCTCCTGCTGATGTTCAGGTGTATATCAGTATGTAGTGTCTCTACTTTAAAGAGTCCTCTCCTGCTGATGTTCAGGTGTATATCAGTATGTAGTGTCTCTACTGTGACATGTTTCCATTCTTTAATGTTCAAAAAGCTCTTTATTTTTCTCATACTGCCTGTGCTGCAGCACCTCTTTTCACCCTCTGTCTGAAACCAGAGCCCAGTCTGCTCTGATTGGTTAGCTGGCCGGCTCTGTTGTGATCGGTCAACCGCTTAGAGATGTCCCGCCCCTTAGCCTATCACGTACAATGTGTTGAAGCGCTAGCCAATAGAAGCCGTTGCGTCCCGGCTCGTGGAAAGTGGAAAATAACATAACCAGTTGGAATTGGTAAATTGAAAGTTGTTTTATTGAGTGCTCAATAAAGTTGGCAACAAACAGCCACAATCCAAAACAAAAAGCCACAAAGGCACCAGTTTAAACAAACAACAAAAGGAACTAAGGGAGACTCTTTAAATAAGAGTTAATATAAACAAAATAACTAACAACAAAATAACCTAAAGAAAATCTCACTTCTAAAGTGGAATACAAATATTAAGGCTAACAAAAATAGGCAGTCACCAAAACACAGCCTGGGTACAAGTTAACCTCTGTTAACGTTTGTATTACAAGAACAAGCACAACATATACACACAACCTAGTTAACCCACAGAATTAACACAGAATTAACACAGAATGTACTGAGAGAGTACCGAGAGACATCTGCCACAGATGCAGACCTCTCTCGACTAACACGGTGCACACAGTCTTGTAGTTGTCCCCGGAAGGTGTGTGCGGGGATTGGAGAGTCGGGCCCTGCCTGCTCCAATCCAGATCTTCGGTCACGCCTACCGGGGGAGGGACAGGAAACCGGCATCCAATGGCGTCAGGGCAATGGCACAGCTCATATACATATAACACACACAGCTGCAAACACTTACAGGTTAATAGTTAGATAGAAGGCGGCGGCCGTAACAAAGCGCAAGTGTTACATACCGATGTCATTATGTTACAATAGTCCACAAAGGAGTGCACTTTGGGATTTCATTCTTTGCAGATATTTACATGCACAAAAACCTAAAGAACACACTACAGGAAAGGGAGAACCCTAAAAATAATAATAGGGCCTCTTTAAGATCCAGACATCCCAATAATGGGTTGATTTTGACAGCCCTTGTGGACGAAAGCGGTAATGTAACAAATTGCAGCTGCCAGACTCCCTTTTAGAATCATCTGATTTCACTGCAGCAGGGTGTGTTTGTGGTGTTCCATGGAAAGGAAATTCCCTCATGCTGTAGTCATATCTCTGTCTCTTCCTGTACCTCCTTCCACTCTTCTATTTGACTATTTTTTAAATATTATTCCTGCCCTTTAAAAATATTAGTGGAATGAGATATCACACTCCCTCACTCCCTCCATGTCCCTCACTCCCTCCATGTCCCTCTCTCTCTCCGCTGGTTGTGAAAACAAGGATATCCCCCTATTGTTGATCAGTCCAGCTGGACGGGACCGAGGGTGTGGTCAGAGCAAACACACACACACACACACACACACACACACACACACACACCACAGGCCTGACACTTTTGCTCACACATCTCTTTCTATCTCTTGCACTAACACACACATTTTCACACACGGTTTGACGGATGCGTCGGCGTTTTTTCAATTTCGGGACATCCTGTTAGATCGGAGCAGATCTGAAGGCGATCGGGGACTTTTTATTTAGGTGGGGAAATGGAGGAAAGTTTGGAATAACAATCAGGAGGACTTCGGTTACGCTCACAGAGAGAAAGCAGGAAAACAACGTTGTTTTTTTTCTTCAAAACGGCCGTCACGCGTTTACTGTTTTCCCTGCTGAGCTCTGTTTTCTGGACATTATTACTCCAGCTGGTAAACTCGCCAGCTACACTTGATGATTTGTTATGATACTTAACATGGAAAGCTTTATATATAAAGGAGGATGTCAGCTATTTCTAAACATATGACAGTAGTAGGGCTGAGTGTGGGTACTTTGAACCCTTTACTGAATCTAATTATATTTAAAAGTTGGTTATAAATATCCAAAATTCAAATAATTAATTGAGATTTAAAAAGCAAAATCTTCAAAACTGATGTTGACAACTTTTAGCATTTACCTGAAAATCTTAGAGCATTAATGAATAGTTTCAAGCTTCCTACATATCGGTGTTAATTTTGCATTTCCCCTTAGCTTTCTGATTCATCCTGTGCTTCATGTTATTGTCACTTTCTGCAGATTGGCCCCAAGTGGAAGGACGTGGTTTCCCGCTGCATTAAGGGCCACTACCAGCCCCTGCTGCTGCTGTACGCCGACCCGAGGGGAACGCCGGTATCCGTCCAGGACCTTCCCTCTCGACTCGACCTCCGCCACCTCAACAAGGCCGGCTACGACAGCGAGGACTCGGGTAACTACAACACAGCTAGGAGTCGTAGTAGTAACACTACAGCAAACGTTCAGGTAACTAAACCGGAAACGGTAGCACTTGTTGTAGTCGTAGTTGCACTATGACAGACAACACTGAGGTAACTAAAAGACAGCTAATGCACACGTAGTTCTAGAAGTCGAGTTCAGGTGGCTGATGTTAGACAGAATTATGGTTTTGCCATTAAAAAAAATAACCTTTTGGGGTTTTTACGGATGTATTTTATGGTCGAGAACAAAACGTTAAAATCTTTTTAGCTTGTGTTAGCCACCGATGTTATTTCAGGCTACCAACCAAACAGGAAGTGCTAAACAGCTGAGTCATGTCAGGGTTTCAGGACTAATTTCCTGCATTACTAACACTATGGTGTGTTCAGGCTCTTTTGATCTAAAATAAGTACCGGTGAAGGTTAAATTACAACTTTATCGTCATGTGATCCACTTCCTTTATCATGTGATCCACTTCCTTTATCATGTGATCCACTTCCTAACAGACCAGTTTGCAAACGTTCATAGAATGTTGAATTGTAGAATTTCACTAGTATTGATATCGTCCACAAAATGTCAGGTATCGTGACATCGCTAGTCTGATGTGATGCATATTTATGTGTGTGTTAGTGTACGTGAACACATCACTGACGGCCCCTACTCGTTTACTAACCCCCCCCCCCCCCCCCCCCCCCCCTCCTCAGGCCGTGAGCAGTCGATCTCCAGCGACACTCGCACCGACTCGTCGACTGAGAGCTATTCGTGTCGACAGCCCTCCGTCTCGCACCATGAGTCCCTGGTCTCTCACTTCTCCTCCGACTCCCAGGGAACCATCATCGAGAGCCCCCCCCCCGGACCCCTGCACGCCTCTCTCTGCAGCCTGGAGACCATAGGTGGGTCCCTGCTCATTAAATATCAGTCGTGATAATAGTTGGTTTTTAAAAAATAATTATTCAAGCATTTTTTAAGCAAAAACTAAATATTTTTAGGTCCAGAATCAGAATTTGTTTTATTGCCAATAAGAAAATCCCATTTTTAGGTTCGTTTTTTTAAGCTCTTCATTAAAATCTAACTATATTCATGTTCAAAAAACAAGGTAATCTTTCAACAACCCATCAAAATGTCCTGAAATCTATATATTTGTAATTATTTAACTGCAGTTTACAGTCTCTCAAATATGAATTTTTGTTTTGTTTTCATATTATGGTAACCATTTTTGCGTTTTCGACTTTTAAGTATATCTCCTTAGACTTAAAGAAACTACAATTTTATATACCAAATCTAGTTATTACTCTCTATCTACTTATTCTGTGAGTTAGTCCTTATACAAAAATAATGGGAGGTTAATATATGTAATTTAGTATGAAAACAAACGTCCATTCATTTTAAATCATTCATTTACATTTTGGATTTGCCAAGTTTATTTGTATTTGCTGCGCAGCCTATCACGCTCTGCCATTCGTCTCCTCTCCTCTCATTGTGTTGCATGATGGGCTGTAAACATCCGTTGCCATGCTTCTTGTTGCTAAGGCCCCGTGGCGGACAGCGAGCAGCACCAATCTCTGAGGAAGGGAGGCGGGGCCGGGGATAGGAGGCGGAGCTCTAGCCGCCACCGTCGATCTAAACCCGACAACGAAGCCTCGTCGGCCGGGTACCACAGCGAGGGTAGGCAGGGGGCCAATCAGGGGCCGGGGATTAAAGAGTGAAGGGGCCAAGATCTCTTAACTTATGTATTTCTAATATTCATGTTTTTATGTCTAAGTGACTAACCAGGGCTACATTTGTTTTGAATTGCTGCAGCATTGAAATACTTCAATGTAAGTCTACCATTATGCCCCGTCAATATCTGTCCACCAAGTCATAGTACACATCCATTTTGTGAACATGCTTGCTTGTTTTTTTCCCCCAAAGCTTTATGGCCTTTCATCCACTCCACAAAATAACCACTTTAGGTCAGAAAACGATCAAACTGTATAGATGAGAGTAACACATGCGTCACTTACGGGCAAAAATGACGGCTCCGCCCACCTTTTGGGGAAAACAAAACTGTCATTTGAATGGCGGTCAATACAAATTCTGAAGTTTTTGCCAATCCGATCAGAAATGTAAGAAAACCGTGGATTTTTGGATCTTCAAAGAGCCCGATTACGATGGCCAGACAGGCAAACAATTACATTAAATCATTTGAAATCGACGATCGGGCTCGATATATGGTTAAATATAGCAGTAGGCGATCGATGTCCACAGATGAGAGTAACATCTGCGTCACTTTACGGCCCCGCCCACTTTTGGGGGAAACCAACGCTGTCATTTGAATGGCGATCAAGCCTGAAGCCACAGAGCTCTTCTTATACTGTCCTTTTTTCTTAGAGGAAGTACAGACAAACGTAACTCTGGATTTGTTTTAATGTTTGAGGTGCAATAAACGACACAGCAGCTTGTTGGCATGATAAAACTATTATTTTCCGCCTCGCTCATGAGAGTAACAGCTGGAGAAATTACGGCCTCGCCTACTGATTTTAATTTAACCATATATCGAGACCGATCGTCGATTTCCAATGATTTAATTGTTTGCCTGACTGGCCATCGTAATCGGGCTCTTTGAAGATCCAAAAATCAACGGTTTTCTTACATTTCTGATCGGATTGACAAAAACTTCAGAATTTGTATTGACCGCCATTCAAATGACAGCGTTGGTTTCCCCCAAAAGTGGGTGGAGCCGTACTTTTCGGCCGGAAGTGACGTAGGTGTTACTCTCATCTATATAATGGCTAGCATGAAGTTTTGCAGAGACTCTGTTTTCAGTGTTGACGTGTTTTACAGGAAAACATTTTTGACTTGTAATTGGAGAGTGAACCGTGCTATCGCTCAAAATTGAACAATTTGACAAACAGATAACTTCGACACAAAAACATAGGAAAATAAGTAAAACAATAACCAAGTTTACCTGTAAATATCGTTATTTTAGAAGCTGCAAACAAGACTAACAGCAAATATAAAATGTTCAATAGATATATACCAGGTTTATTTTTGACTACGGTAATATTTATTATTTTACAGCTTAAAGGTGGGGTAGGTAATTCACTTCAGAAACACTTTTTGTTATATTCCATGGAATGCTCTTAACATCCCGATAGCAATGAATACATGAAATGCTTTGACAATAAATACATAACAATTTTTGTTATATTCCGTCATCTGTGGAAGCCGTGGCGCTGTAAAAAGCACGACCAATCATCTGAGCCGGCCCGGCTAAAATAACTGGATGGCCTACCTGCCTGTCAGCCTTCCATCTCGTGGACAAACTTATCTTGTGCCCTCATTGGTCATGTGCGCGTCCGTGTGTGTTGGAGGAGGGGCTCTGTAAGGAAGTCTGAAGGAAGGGGCAGATTTCTTTCGGCTGTGTACTTTCAAATTCTAGCGCACTCCAGCTGGTTTCTCCATTCTTACCTACCCTACCTTTAAGAAACACATTGGTTTGATCCTGTAAAAGTAAAGATGCTACTTGTTGTAGAACATTTTGTGAGGCTCTAATAAAATATTCACTTTTTAATAATAATTAGACATTAAATGCTTCTTTTTGAGATAAGCTAAAGTTTCGCTTTTATTATTTCTTGTTTTTACCCATATTTAATCATTTTTCATTAAATTCTCCCATCACTCTCATGTTATCTCCATTTGTGTTTGAATTGTTATGGTATTTAACTTATTTCCTTTCCCTCCTTGCTTCCTCTCTTATCGTTATATACCTCTCCTCCTCCTCCTCCTCCTCCTCCTCCACTCACTTTCCTCTCCCCTACCAGGAGAGACATTAAAGGAGCAACAGGCTCCTCGTCCCCCCCCCAAAACTTCCTCCTCCTTCTCCTCTTCCACCAATCGCCTCCGAGAATTCAAGGAGACGATGAGCAACATCATCCACAACCGTCCCCTCTCCTCCTCCTCCTCTTCCTCTTTACCAGCCACCATCACCTCCTCCTCCTCCTCCACCTCCTCCTCTAACAACCACCCCCCCCGCCCCTTGCTCCTCCTCCTCTAACCCTTTGGAGTCTGATGGCTCCGGAGGGTCGGGGAGGTGGAGGCCGCGGAGGGAGGTGCTGAACATCGACAGCATCTTCACCCGAGAGAGGCGCAGGCAGGCGGGGTACAGTCCGCTGGGAGCCCCCCTGCCCGACTCTGGAGCTCCGAGGGAGGAGGAGGAGGAGGGGAGGAAAGCAAGGACTCTCCCCCACTCCTCCTCCAGCTTCCACAGAGGAGGCGCACAGGGACTTCCTCCTCCTCCCCCTCCTCCCCCCAGACTGATCCAGAGGATGGAGAGCGGGTATGAGAGCAGCGAGAGGAACAGCAGCAGCCCCGTCAGCCTGGACCTCCACCTGGGAGACAGGTTGGGAAATAATCCTCTAAAACTATTTAGAAAATGGATTAATAGGTCATTTTTCATTAAGAAATTGCATTAAAATGTTGTTTTCAGACCTTTAATATGGTATAAATCAAAGAACGGCAGGAAATCTCCATATTTAAGTTAATATCTTTGGGTTTTGGACTGACTAAACAAGTTTTTCACTTTTTTTCTTGACTATTTTAAGACCAAAAGTCTAGACATTTTGAAAATAATAGTTGTTTTTGCCTTAGTTTGAAACCCTCCTTAGAATTCATCATATGTCTTAGTTTTTGGGTCTAATGGCGCATTTCCACTGCAGGGCCTCGCACGGCTTAGTACGGTAAAGTTAGGCCTTGGTAGGCCAGGCTCATTTTATGCTGCGTTTCCATTACAGTTTAGTACCTGGGGCCGTAACTATAGTAACGCTGTGTAGGCGGAGCCATGACGTCATCTTCAATGCGAAACACAAAACCAACATCAGCCGTTAGCTGTTAGCACTCAGAGCTCACAGCTCCTCATATCTGTTCAGAAACTAGACAAAAGTTAAACAAGTACAAACCACAGACTGCCTGTGTCATGGTGAATACAGTCACTGCTTTATTTATGTCTGTATAGGCCGTTGTTGTGAGTGTGGACGGTCGGAGCATATACTGCGTTAGCTTAGCCAATCTCCATTCAGAAAACACGCATTTTAAAAGGTTTTCCGCCTGCCGTCTGTCTGCAGACTTGTCAAAGCATTAATTCATGGTTTTTACTAACCGGTATCAGTATGTTGTTACTTCGGCATCATTTTGAAACGTATTACAATTAAATCACGATAAAATATGTTCATTTTGTTGTAGTTGTAGCCCCCTTGCCAGCGATTCTCTCACTAGTTTAGCATACTCAGCCCGGTTGTTGGCCCCGAAAGAACCACGATTTTGGAGAGCCAGAAAAACTGTGAAAGAGTATCCGTTAGCCGGAACTACCGTGCTACGCGCTGCAGTGGAAATGCGCCATTACACTCTTAAATACTAACCCCCAACCAAACTCTGTACAATTGACTGAGCATTTAACAATGAGATACTTTATGAGGAAGTTTTAAAATGCTGCCTCACTTCAGATTCCTCATTCCTGGGGTACGGAAATGGATTAATAATTAATTAAATGTGCAGCCCTAATATCCTCTCTCTCTCTCTCTCTCTCTCTCTCTGTGTCTCTTGTGTTCAGGGAGTGTGCTGTGAAGAAGCCTCCCTCCTCTTCCTCCTCAGGACCATCATGGAAGAACATCCGGTCAAAGAGCAGTGGAGCTCTGCTGCAGGAGCACACCTCCTCCTGCAGGGGGAGCCTCGGTACGATCCTCACTTATCTTTGTGTATCCTTCTATTGACTTTCTGTATCAAAGTCCAAGTATTTAGGCCAAGCCCCCAGGAAGTGCGCCGGACTCTGATGAAAATATTCATTGTGTCCAAACGGCGGTACTACAACTTCCGTATCAGTCCGTGACGTCACTGGGCCAGAAAGACTTTTCCCCATTGACTAACATGGGGAAAGAGACGTCTGTAAATCAGCGGATACTTTTTAAAAAACTAAATAAACTACCCAGTATTAACTAGTTTATAGCCCTTATTAGAAACATTCGGTCCTTAAAGTTGTAAAATGCACTAAAAGCCGAATCTAGATTTATTTTCTGTCTCCATTCATTCTACTGAGCCGAGTAGGAGGTCGGGGGGCGGGGCTTAAGGGGCGCATGCTCTGTGAGCGCACATACGGGTTCTTCTGCTCTGACAGCCAGGCATGATGGGTAATCTGTGACGTTTCGCTCTCTCAAAAGTTGGGCTGCTCAATTAATCGTATTTTAATCGCGATTACGATTATGGCTTGCAACGATTACGAAAACAACGTAATCGAAATAAAACAATTATTTCTTTAGTATTATTATTACTTTTTTTTTTCTTCTTTTCAAATAATTTCTTTTTTTTTGGTTTTTCAGTTGAATTATACTTAAAGTTCAGGGTAATCAACTGTTAAAAACATACTGTTCAACATTTTGTTCTCCAATAAATTGATGTTTTCAAAGTAAATGGATAATCGTTTTTAATAATCGTGATATCAATTATTGACCCAAATAATCGAGATTATGATTTTTGCCATAATCGAGCAGCCCTACTCAAAAGTTGGGCCATTTTGTCTTCATGCGCCAATGAGCAGCTCTCATAGGAAAGAACGAGACCCCGCCTCCCACACTGTATCCAGTTCTTATTAATCATCCATGCTTAAGGTCCATTTACTTCCTATGCATGTTTATTCTGATCAACTGGACTCTTCTTAAAATTAAAAGTAACGTACATGCCTAACCTGAGCTGTGCTTGCAGTAGAATCCTGATTGAATGCATGTTTAAACGGCTGGTAATGCAAACTTAACTAAAGCCTTTTATCACCAGCTCCCGCCCCTATAAAAAGAGTTGCTGTTAAAAAAAGCCGCAGTAGAAAGCGGCGGCTTTTTAACAATGCCAAAGTGCGCTAACTTTAGCTCCAATAGTTCGGTTGTAGTTGACTCCTTTAAAAAAAAAAAAGTAACATGCACAGCCAACGTCGATACTGCAGCTAAAATACTCCAAAAGGTTTTTAATTCCAGGAGCAGGAAGTGTGAGAAATATGTGTATCTGAGAACGCTGTAAATTGTCCCGTCTTGTTGCCGTAGTGATGACATTATGTGTGTGTGTATTTGAAGCAGCGCCCCCTGCAGGCCGCAGCGAGCTGGACGAGCTGCAGGAGGAGGTGCAGAGGAGAGCCCGGGAGGAGGAGACGCAGCGGAGGCAGGAGAAAGAGAGGGAGGCGGCGCTGGGATTCAACCCCAGACCCAGCAAGTACCTGGACCTGGACCAACTGCAGATCCAGGGTACAAACTAACGCCAGCACACACAGACACACTCGTGCACTTTTTCTCTTTGTCACTAGAATCTAATTTAAACTACTGTATTTTAGAATTACAATATTATAAATAAATAAATCTACAAATCTCAGTTTAAGAGAGAGCAACACTGCAGATAACGTACCCATGTTTGTTAAAAGCTAGAGGAAGTAAGCCTGGGAAATAGGTGTGTGTGTGTGTGTGTGTGTGTGTGTGTGTGTGTGTGTGTGTGTGTGTGTGTGTGTGTGTGTGTGTGTGTGTGTGTGTGTGTGTGTGTGTGTGTGTGTGTGTGTGTGTGTGTGTGTGTGTGTGTGTGTGTGTGTGTGTGTGTGTGTGTGTGTGTGTGTGTGTGTGTGTGTGTGTGTGTGTGTGTGTGTGTGTGTGTGTGTGTGTGTGTGTGTGTGTGTGTGTGTGTGTGTGTGTGTGTGTGTGTGTGTGTGTGTGTGTGTGTGTGTGTGTGTGTGTGTGTGTGTGTGTGTGTGTGTGCGCATGTTCCCCATTGAGCATCTAAAAAGGCCAAGAGACAAAAGACAGAATGACAACGCAGTCATTTCAGTGTCTGTGTGTGTAGTACGCTGCACTGGCTGCTCTACACTTTAAATTGTGTTAGTTGCTTTGAATATGAGAAAATATAATGTATGCAATCCATATTTGAGGCTGAAAACATCATTTCTGACATGTTAGCATGAAAACTAACTATATTTGTAACTAACTATATATGTGTGTGGGCATGCAGGTAAAGGTGATGGTTTTGAGAGGTGTGTGTCTGAGGCGGAGCTTCTGCTGGATCAGACGGTGCGTCTGGAGCAGGCGGGCGAGGTCACTGCAGCGCTGACGGCCGTCAACGATGCCGTCTGTAAGTTCTTCCCACACACACACACACCCCCTCACGCACACGTACATGCACACGTACACACTTACACACTCGGTATCTCATACCAAATAATCACACTGTGAATGAGGTCACCGCACCCCCGCCCACCAACCCTCTGCTTTGTTGCTAATGGTAACCAGAGGGAGATTCACACACACACACACACACACACACACACACACACACACACACACACACACACACACACACCTGTGGTCGCTGCAGCTGACACACAAAAACAGATTCTAAACTGATAAAAACAGATTGAGAAATACAAAATGGTGTTACATCATTGACAGCTTAATGAGAGAAAAGTGTCAAATATTTAAAGTTCAACAAACTTTTAGATGAGAAGCAAACCAGTAAGTCGAAGAAGACTGAGAAGCAGTGTCTCTTTCACAAAAATAATAAAATAAACGTTCCTGTACTTTACAACTTGGCTCTTATTCTATTAGTTGTACTTTAAAATAAATCTGGCAAGCAATGTACTTACTGTGTGAAAGTATTGGACACAGCAGGGTTATCATTTTGTTTATTTAACGTTTTGTCTGAATATATTTGTTACCATTTCATCAGTGAGATCCAAAGTTATTGATCCTTCACTCAAACACACAGTCACACCACCATCATGTCAGCTGGTTTTATGTCGGGTGTATATTTGCTTTTTAAGATTTTTGCATGAAATCATCATAACACGTTATTTTCTGCATCCTTTCTTTTTCTTTTGTCCTTATTTATTCATTCCTCTCTTTTGTTTTTTTTGTTTCTTTCTGTATTTTCTGTTGTCTTGTGACGCGGCCGCAGCCAAACTGCAGCTGGCGGCGTCTGAGGCCGGAGCGAGTAGCCACGTCCGGCTGCAGCGCTGCATGAGGAGAGGGCGCAGCATGCAGCAGCGCATGCAGCAGCAGCAGCAGCAGCTGCAGCAGGAGAAGGAACAGCCCAGGTACCACCTGTAGTCTCAGCCAACCAGGAGGAGCATAGCGTGCTGCAAGGGAGGATTCATTTGTGTAGTCTCGCCCCGAAGGCAGCATCTTCCTGGTTCTACAGAATTATATCATCCCTGCAGCACTATATGAACGTGGCGGCCTGTAGGGTGCACTATCAGGACCTTAGAGTTTATTCGGTCATAATTCAGAGTGTGTGCCATGGTGGGAGATTGTCAACACACACACACACACACACACACACAACCAGCCGGAGCTCTCGAATGACACCATCTGTTCCAAACATACTGCAGGCCAACTCACATGCGCACTTCCTCAATGTCCCAGTGACATGTAGTATTGCCAAACATTTATTCATTTATATTTGCAATCTGCCATTGTTTAAAGCATATTACTGTGAATACTTAAGTTACAATATACAGATGTTATAAATGAAATAAACAAAATCAAACCGCCCGATTTTTCTCTGCAGTGAAAAGCCTCTCCCGCTCCAAATACTTCTGACTGAAAGCAACCAATCAGCTGCCCGTCTGGACCAACAGGCCCCGCCTCCCTGCCTTGTTAAGCCCCTCCCCCCCAAGAAGAGCCCGATGTCGGACCCCGTCTCCAGCACTACATCCAGCGAGGAACAAGGGACTGGAGGCCCCTGCTCTCTCTTTGCGAAACCCCTCGCCAAAACCAGATCCGTCCACCTGGGAGATGTGGCTCCGCCCCCTCGACCTGAGGAGGCGGAGCTTCCCACCCAGGGGACCCCAGCACAGGCCCCTTCACCTGGCGGTACTCACGACAGGTGTCTGATTAAGGGGCCGTCGTTTTATCCCCAGGCCCCGCCCCATGCTCCCCCGCCCTCCCCCCCCACCAGGAGCTGGTCCTGCTTACCCCCCTCTGATGTCATAGATTCTCCTCCAATCAGCTCGTCCCTTTACTCGCCACCTGACTTCCCCTCCAACGTCCCCCCACCTCCCCCCAGCCAGGACTACACTGCGGCCCTGCCTGTAGAGCGATGGGCAGAGAACGTCAATAGATACTACGGCTCCCAGAATGCATCAGCGGGAGACGAGGAGCTGTCGGAGCTGGACTCGCTGTACCAGGCCAGTCTGATGGCTCCCAGCATGCACCGGGGCAGCAGAAGACTCAGCCCTCAGCCAACCGACAACCATTCAGGTAGGAAACAATGAGAAGAAGTACAGCTGGATTAAAGTGGGTGTGTGAAGCTTTAACTTTTAACCCGTAGTGTCGCTATCGCACAACACTGCTTCTATTGTTAGTCCTGCATCTGTATTTATAACGAATATAATAATGTGTGTGTGTTTTTGTGTAGGTGTGAGAAGAATGCTGTCAGGATCAGGACGATCCAAAACACCGACAGCTGAGATTGAGAGATACGCCTACAGATCCCCAGCTGCAACTCGTAAGGTACAAATGGTGTGTGTGTGTGTGTGTGTGTGTGCGTGTGTGTGTGTGTGTGTGTGTGTGTGCGTGTGTGTGTGTGCTTGTGCTCTGATCATTATTTAACAGATGTTTCCTGGGATGCAATTTCAAGGCTAAAACTAAATAAAACAAAAACCACAGTATGTGATGGCTAAAGTTAAAAATCAGGATAACAAAACAGAACACATAAATACAGGAAATTATAAGCATAGAATTAAAATAACAATAACAAAAAATAAATGTAATTGAAAGCATTTACAATCAATTAAAAATATACAATTTTGGTAAGTGCTGTCATTTTACAATTTAAATTCTGTAGGGAGCCAAAAAAGCCATTTTGTTTACAGTTAGGAAACAGAAAAGTAGCAAATCCTCAAACTAGAGACTCGTTTTTTTTACCTTACGGCCCGTCCACACAGCGGCGTGCGTTGAAGCTTGCTCCATTTTTTGGAATATGAGGAAATGACCTGTGGTGTGTCTCTCCCAGCATACACGCGGTTTGATTGGCTGCATAAACGGGATTTGATTGGCTGACGCTTCCACCGAAGCTTCAGAAGCTTCAAAAGTTGAACATTGCTCAACTTTTGCAGCCTGAAACGCCAGCAAAGCTCCGCTCTGCTTCCCACAATGCAGTTCGGCGAAAACTGAGGCAAACTGACGTCACCCCATTCAAAGTGAATGAGCAGAAGCGTTGGAAGATTTTTTTAACGCTGCTGTGTGGACGTACCGTTAGTGTGCTTACAGTTGGTGTTGCATTGTGGGTAATGTAGGCGCCAGATTTTGATGGGGTTTTATTTCCTGCTTCTTGATTGTAATTTTCATGGTTTTTGAGTAGCTACATTTATGCCGTTTTGATACCATGAGCTGAAAGAATGTGTTAAAAAAGTAAAGTTTATTAAAACGTTTAACCCGCTGACCTCTGACCTCGGTGCAGCCGGCAGGTGAAGACGAGAGCTACAGCGCATCGAACCTGCGGCGCATCACACGCAGCCTGAGTGGCACCGTCGCCGGGTCACAACCCCAAAACAGCTGCGTGAGTCAACACACACACACACACACACACACACACACACACACACACACACACACACACACACACACACACACCAAGCATAAACAAAAACAAAAATAGGGAAATTACATATTACAAAAAGGTTTTTAAAAAAAAAATGCAGAAACAAACATTTGACGTCCTGCTGCCACCCTGTGTTTGTATAATGTAACTGCAGCCTGGTTCAGACACTCTCAGTTTCTACTACTTGATAATAATGATCAATAACAATAACAACACAACTGTTTCATAAAACACTGCTTCAGTTTTACAGGATGACAGCTTTCTTGTGGTTATGACAGTGTATTAATCAAAATGTCCAAGGAAATTATAAGAAGTTCCTCGAACTGTAATAAATGTATTATTTGTCTTTTTTAGTACAGTCCACAAAAACACATTACAGACACAACAGTAAGATGAGTTGACAAGACAAATTCACAAAAAAGTATATCCCACAATTTCATTCACTGCTCTTTCTGGATTCAGAACATCGAGGAGCTAATTTTAGAATTAACTCCTGTCTGCTGTTTAGTAATAAAAGCTTAAAGGTAGGGTAGGTAAGAATGGAGAAACCAGCTCGAGTGCGCTAGAATTTGAAAGTACACAACCGGAAAAAATCTGCCCCTTCCTTCAGACTTCCTTACAGAGCCCCTCCTCCAACACACACGAACGCGCACATGACCAATGAGGGCACGAGATAAGTTTGTGCACAGATGGAAGGCTGACAGGCAGGTAGGCCGTCCAGTTATTTTAGCCGGCCCGGCTCAGATGATTGGTCGTGCTTTTTACAGCGCCACGGCTTCCACAGATGACATTTTTTTAATGTATTTATTGTCAAAGCATTTAATGTTTTCATTGCTATCGGGATGTTAAAGGTGGAGTAGGTAAGTTTGAGAAACCGGCTCGAGATACACTTTTTGTTATATTCCATGGAATGCTCTTAACATCCCGATAGCAATGAATATCTTCAGTGCTTTGACAATAAATACATAAAAAAATGTCATCTGTGGAAGCCGTGGCGCTAAAATAACTGGATGGCCTACCTGCCTGTCAGCCTTCCATCTGTGCACAAACTTATCTCGTGCCCTCATTGGTCATGTGCGCGTTTGTGTGTGTTGGAGGAGGGGCTCTATAAGGAAGTGGCAGATTTTTTCCGGTTGTGTGTTTTCAAATTCTAGCGATCTCGAGCTGGTTTCTCAAAAATTACCTACCCTACCTTTAAGAGCATTCCATGGAATATAACAAAAAGTGTTTCTGAAGTGAATTACCTACCCCACCTTTAAAGGCAGAGCAAAGTGTGTATTAGTATAGAGTTTTTATATATAAAACAATTCTATCAGCTATTTGCACCTGTGTAAACACACCAAGTCAGAGGTGAGATATCTTATAGTTCAAGTTACGAAAACTTAAATATGCTGCATGTTGTATAAATAGAGATTTAGGCTCAGACTAGCTGCTTTTTATTCCTCACACACTCCATCTTCTGGAAGTATTAAATCTGTTTCCTGCTGCCCGTGTCTCTGCTCCAGGCAAACGCTCCTGTGTGAAACGTAACAAGCTGTACGCCGGTTCTCAGCCCTCAGGATTCGCCTCGGGCAGCTCATTAAACTTTTATCAGTGATTTAGTTCTTCCATTAAGCTTTTAACCCGGCGCTCGCTGAGGTCTGACTGCAGATATCAGACGGTGAAACTCTCGGGGAGGATTAAAGTGAAAACACGGAGAACCTGCAGTCATCGATCCTCATCAATGATTCACACTCTGACATGAAGAGAGAAACCCCGTACTGCTTCTTTACTGAGGCTGAACACAGTTTAGAGGTTGTGTGAGAGATGTACTTAAGATTTAAGACACCTCAGATATTCAGATTAAACGTTTAATAACAAACGCTGTAGATAATTAACAGAGCTTTTCGTTGCAGTAAGCTATAAATAAAAGTCACATTTTAAATATCAAGTATTTTAAGAATAGTCTCAGAGAATATCCAAATGTTTCTAAAAGTATGACTTAATATCCAGACGGACATTAATAACACTCTTCATCTGGTTCAAAGCACAGATCTAAAACGTATAACAAATCAAAACTCACCTTCACCGTTTTTTTTAATTTCTAGATAAACTTGCATCTTTGGAGATACAAGTTTATTTCTGTCATTTCTCCTGTTTTTCATTCATCGTGTTGACTTGTTTTCATTTGGTACCTCCTCCTCCTCCTCCTCCTCCTCCTCCTCCTCCCCCTAAAGGAGCCCTCTGTGTCCAGGCCGACCCTCAAACACGCCTCCTCTTCCTCCTCCCTCCCCCGCCGCCCCAGCTCCTCCTCCTCGCTGCACACTCCCTCCTCCTCCTTCACTACAGATCCCTCCCACCACCTCCTCCTCCAACACCACCACCATCCCCCCCGACACCTCGGCCCCTCAGCTCCTGCACCTCCTCCACAGCACCCCCCCCTGCAGAGATCACGGCCCCCCAGCTCGGGCCCCTCCTCCTGGGGACACTCAGGTAACATGCAGGCCCTCCGCCTCCACGCACCTCCTCCACGCACCTCCTCCATAACAACCACCTCATAATAAAAAAACTCGAACTAACCACCAAATAAATATAACTTTATTTAAAACGTTTTCAGATTTTGTTTTTCATAAGCTTCAGGTCATGTGACTGTTAAATCATTTCTGATTGGTCAAGGAGAAACTGTCTGTCAATGAATAGTTATCAGACATTCGGCTTTGTGTAATATTTGTTTTCCTATTACCTGAACTAACTCTACCTCCACCCCCCCTCTCCCCTCAGGTGGCGGCCCCCCCCCTCCAGCAGCAGTTTCTGGCTGTGTCTGACGGGCGTTCGTCTCTCTCAGGTCACGCTCTGAGTTACGGCACGCTGCCCCGAGCCCCTCGCCTCCCCCCTCCTCTCTCCTCCTGCAACACCTCCTCCCTCTCCAGACCCAGACCCACCCCTGCCCCCCCCCACAGTCTCTACGCCACCCTGTCCCGCCCCCACCGCTCCGCCCCCCCTCCCACCAATGGTCACCTAACGTCTAACTTGAGCTCCGCCCCTTCCCAGCCGATGCGTCTCGACGTCCCCCCCGACACTGACTGGCGCCTCCAACCCGACTTTCGGACTGTCAGCTCCTCCTCCTGGGACCCCCGCGCTGCCCGACACCACCTGCCCCCCCCACCACAGCCTCGCAGGCCCCCCCCCCCACTCTGCTCGCTCTGTCAGCAGTTCCCTGCAGAGCTGCCGCGTCCCTACTGCCTGTCGTGCGGCGCCTACGTGGCTCGATTTCGCCCCGTCAGGTGATCCGGAAACCCCCCGCCTTCAGACACTCCCAACTAAATGCCTGTGTCACGTATAGTTCTGCAGGTTTTTCAGTAGTCTGACCCGGAAGGTAGCATCTCCATGGTTCCCTCTATAAAAATAAACGGGATTTTTTAAATTGGATTTTGGAATATGGCAGAAAATAAGCTCTGTGACAAACAATTATGATACTGACAGGTTTCGTTCAGCAGGATAAACTCCACATTATAACGCCACTTGATTTTAACGTTGACATCACCACTGCTAAGCTAAAGGCGCTAATGTTCGGCGTGAAGACGTTTAGCAGTCAGCAACAACGGTGGGGCATTTACTGATGTATTTTATGTTGTTAAAACTCAACATTGATATGTCTTCAGCTTGTGTTAACCACAGAGCTTATTTCTAACCAATAACCATTAAAAAGATCCCATTTTATTCAACACGAGGGAACCAGATGTGCAGAACACATTTCCTGGTTTTAAGACTCGTACCTGCAGAACTCAAACCCACCAAGATTTTCTTTTTAAAATGTGCCAATGTTTGTTTAAATCCATCGCTGCCCATCACCCTCAGAGCAGAAATCTGCCACAAACTTCTCACAAAGTGTCCCCCCTTCTCACCAAACCCCAGACATTGTTGGGGTTTGATCTCCTACACACAGAATACGAATGTCTGCTGGATAAAAGCACATTTAGATTTCTACTCAAGAGAAAGCACCGTGATACAAACCAGGAGAACGAGGAGACGACGCTGCTGCTGTCTGATAACGTTTCATCAAAATGTGACAAAAAAACGGACACGTCTATATTCACAAACAGGCTCCGATATTAAAGGTAGGGTAGGCAATTTTGGAGAAACCAGCTCGAGTGCGCTAGAATTTGAAAATACACAACCGGAAAAAATCTGCCACTTCCTTACAGAGCCCCTCCTCCAACACACACGAACGCGCACATGACCAATGAGGGCACGAGATAAGTTTGTGCACAGATGGAAGGCTGACAGGCAGGTAGGCCATCCAGTTATTTCAGCCGGGCCTGCTAAAATGATTGGTCGTGCTTTTTACAGTACCACGGCTTCCACAGATGAACATTTTGTTATGGATTTTTTGTCAAAGCACTGAAGATATTCATTGCTATCGGGATGTTAAGAGCATTCCATGGAATATAACAAAAAGTGTATCTCGAGCCGGTTTCTCAAACTTACCTACCCCACCTTTAACCTTCATCTGCTGGTAGTCAGTCTTAATCAACAGGTTTATTTAACAGTGAAACACACTCAATTAGAGCAGTGCATTTTATAGCAGCAACTATTTTGAGCCTTAATTTTGAGTTATTTTATTCAAGTAGGGGTTATTTTTTATGGAGATTAAAGATGAACAATTTACAAGAAATATTTCTAAATATTCTCTTAAGAAGTCATACAGAAATTTACCACTTTAATTTAACAAGCCTACATGTTTCATAAAACATGTAATTGTATTTTCTCCTTAAAGGTAAGGTAGGTAAGTTTGAGAAACCGGCTCGAGATACACTTTTTGTTATATTCCATGGAATGCTCTTAACATCCCGATAGCAATGAATATCTTCAATGCTTTGACAAAAAATCCATAAAGAAATGTCATCTGTGGAAGCCGTAATACTGTAAAAAGTACGACCAATCATTTTAGCCGGCCCGGCTAAAATAACTGGATGGCCTACCTGCCTGTCAGCCTTCCATCTGTGCACAAACTTATCTCGTGCCCTCATTGGTCATGTGTGTGTTCGTGTGTGTTGGAGGGGCTCTGTAAGGAAGTCTGAAGGAAGTAGCAGATTTTCTCCGGTTGTGTATTTTCAAATTCTAGCGATCTCGAGCCGGTTTCTCAAACGTACCTACCCTACCTTTAACTACTTACTCTTACTACTTAAAGAATAAATAAATTGATCACTTTAATCTCAGAATATAAATGTTTTTATCATGATTTTTTTTTTATCCAAAAATGTGAATCTTTGAAATGTAACCCCTCCCTTTTTTTTTAACCTAAATCGTGATCGTGATCTACTTCCGACCCATGGGACCTTATTTCGGAAAAATGATGTATTGAAGTCAATGGGGAGAGAAAGATTATCTTTCGATCCCGTTTGAATTGTGCCATGAATTACACATATGATGTTTGTCAATTTAAAAGATAATTTCCATGTCAAAAAAGTCACAGTTTGTCGTAAAACTGTTGAAATATAAGACTATGAAAAATACGCAACTAGAAAGACTACAAATCCCAGAATCCCGGTCCCGCATGCTGGCTCTTAGGAACCGACTAACTCCCCTTGTGTGTATGTACAGCTCTCAACATGCCCAGACTTGGAGTGATTTTCACCTCTTTTAATACTTTCCGCCTCATTCTGAAAGAAAGAAGTGAAATGTGCCAACGTGACGGCCGTCTGGGTGTGTGGTGCGAGACGGACTTGCAAAATTATCTTTTAAATTGACAAACATCATATGTGTAATTCATGGCACAATTCAAACGGGATCGAAAGATAATCTTTCTCTCCCCATTGACTTCAATACATACTTTTTCCGAAATAAGGTCCCATGGAGCTCCCCGGAAAGGGAGGGACTCTCTATGACGGTGAAAACAGTTTGAGTTGAATATGGATGTGTCTGTTTTTGTCATATTCTGACGACAGGAAGTAGAAAAGCTGCGTTTCTACCTGCCGTTTGTGTCTCAGAAATATAAATCTACTCTACTTATATTCCTCTATTTATTTTTGTAGGCTTGTGAGACTGAGTTGTGCATAGATGAAAGTATTCTACTTGAATATACTCTCCTACTATAATCTAATTTTCTAAAGGTAGTCGCCTTCTTATACTGTACCTGAGGCTGTTAGAGATTAATAAACTAAAAGCTTTTATTTTGACAGCTAATATTTAGCATGATGTTTTATTATAGCCTTGAGAGACTTTGGTGTACACTCATTGTAACGACGATATATGCAGATCTTTTTTAGTTGAACTCTAACTTAGTGCACTTCAGAAGTGACGGTAGATTTGTTTCACTGCTTGTTGCTGTTTCTGTTGTTCAGGGAGACGCTCCTCGTTTACGTTTCTGAGATGTGCTCGGTAAACTTTAAATCTGTTTCATAGATTAAGGAAGGAACACTAGGATGCTGTTTTAGTAACTACATCCAACCCCACCCGCATGGTGCCCAGGTTAGCTAAAACAAACACACCCAAGTCTGATGTGAAGTCAAACACACAATCCTTTGACCTGCTGTTATTCTGCAGGTTACTAAAAATATTAATATTGCAAAAGAACCTAACTAATTATTCCTCGGTTAACTGAATAATGGATACATATTTTCTAAATAAAATCAGACTTCATCAGATCATTTAAATTAAATAATGAAGTTATTTTTTCACCATGTTTAAACTTAAAGTTCTTTTTTTGTGGCTTTTTATTTTTGCTTCGCCAGATTTTATTTGTTTTTGGTATATTTTTGATGCTTATTTTTCTACACTGTAGAATTAACAGAGATGATTAAAATGTTTGAAAAGCAAAAGTGTCTTTTTATTTTTTGTTGAAGTATGTCACATCCCTTTATTATATTTACATATATATATTATGACATTACATTAGGGTGGTCCTTAAAATTGAAAGTCGGAGAGTCTAAGCTCCAACCCTGTAAGAAATTAAAATCAATATTTATATGGCGTGATTTAGATTACATATACTGTAAACTTAAAACTGTTTTATTCTGAAAATACTTCATTTCCGGTTAGCATTAGCTTGTGGCTAACGTTATTGCTGAATGTTAAATGAATGTACAGTTTTATTTTGAAAAGCTTTATAGAAAGACATCCCCGTTGTTTGCATGACGTCACTTCCGGCTTCGCGTTATCAATGATTACAGCCGTTAAAATGCATTAAATAAAAAGTCATGAATGAGAATACGAGGAGAAAAGGCGTGTGGAGTTATACAATGAACACACAACGTCTAAATCCTCTTATTTACGTGATAAGTAAATCACCCAGGCCAGCCCACTTACGTGTCAATGAAGCGGCCCTGATGGTCACAAACTGCCTGCAGAATTATAGAAGGAAAAAGCTTCCTATTTCTATAACAGTGACCATCAGGGCCGCTTGGTGGCACGATGCGCACATCAATTGCTCCAGCAGCTTTTCTGAAGGCTCTGTGTCTGGCCAGCCCTGCGAACCCACGCGACACAGCCTCCAGGTCTTCTGCTGTCCTGGGGAGGTGGATAACCTGGTGGCGAATGGCCACCACCTCCTCAGTGACTCTGTGGACAATCCGGTGAACAGTGGATCGAGGCATCCCAAACGCTCTGGAGACCACTCTGTAGGATGTCCCACATGCCAGCCAGAAGAGGAACACCAGGGTCTCGATGGTGGCACCCCATCCGTGTCTCCGTTCCTGACCCAGGAGGTCCAGCAGCGCGTTCAGGGACTCCCTGCTCAGCCGAAAATCTGGCCGTGTGTCCTGGTCATGAAATAACCTGTCCAGGACAGGGACGGTCATATTCATTCTGCAGTACAGGGGTCTTGGCTATAAGAAAAGGTGGAGGAAAAAGGGCAATAGAGAATTCTTTGTAAATTGCTTATTTGTCAGTGTATATAATATGTCATATCTAAAATAATACATATTATTTGTATAGCGTTTTAACACTCAACACTTTAAAGAGTCAAAATTCACAAGACATCATTAAAGCAACCCACTTTAAATACATAAAACAAAACTTTATTGACAATAAAGCAGTTATGAAGAGTGGAGTTTTGATATGTGATTTGAACATGGTGAGATGGGACCAATAATGTATTTTGGTGGGTTATATATAATATATTAGATACATAGCTGAGGTTATTCCACATTATGAATCTTATTAATGGCATTTTAAACATGTATTATATTGTCAAAATGAAATGGGATTAGCCATATGAACTACAGTTAGCATACTTGACTATAGTTTTCTGAAGCCAATATTAACAATAAAGTACAGGGCTTAAGCTATATTTTTCTTACCTGGAAATGGTCTTCTCTTAATCTAAAGTACAGGACTCGCCTGTACTTTGTTCTTTGAACCACATGTTCCATGAACGTAATTAATAGCAGCAAAGTCACTTCTCTGGCAAGTTCGTTCTCCATCCTTTCTGTCTTCAAAAGAACTTCAAAAGAATTATGTCTTCAAAAGAACTGGTTGCTAGGCAACAGAGTGGCGGGAACTGCTGGTGACGTAAAGACGTAGACTAGACCCTCTCATTTCGCAGGCCGCTCGCTCCAGCGTAGGCTGGGTCCTCCGAAGGATGCAGCCCCTGAATTGAGACACGGCCATAGGCTCGGTCCACGTAGAATCGGTCTCACTTCTTAACCCTTCTCCGAACATGGCGCTGTGTTCCTGATTTGCTCTGTCTGTTTCAAAACCGCGTTACTTCATTAAAGTACACCATTTGAACTTTTTCGGGACTACATTGTCTCTTTTTAACTTCCTCCTGGACTCGAGAACAACAAACAAATCTACAACCCCCAGAATTCATTCTATTAGTCAAGAAAACTCTCCTGGTGAATGTTTTCCTCAATCTGACAACTTTACCACTCCCTCATCGACCATGAAGTTTACCCTCAGTTGCAGCTGCTGATGTGGCTGCCAGAGGCGTACTGGGACTACAAATCAGTCCGGGACTCTCGACCGGCCCACTTCGGTACCGCCGGCCCACCTCAGTACCGCAAGTAATCCCACATAGTCCGACCGGCCCACTTCAGTAACGGCCCATCGGGATTCGTCACGAACGTCTTCTTGACTAATAGAATGAATTCTGGAGGTTGGAGCTTAGACTTTCCGACTTTCAATTTTAAGAACCACCCTACTGAGGCTAAACTTCAAGGTTGATGAGGGAGGGGTAAATGTTGTTGGAATTTTAATAAAATTCACCAGGAGAGTTTTCTTGACTATCATAACGAATTCCGGTGGTTGGAGCTTAAAATAAATGAATTCGAAAATGTACATGGCACTAAGGACCACCCTACATTACATATACAATGAATATATGGTGATCATTTCGATTTGTTTTCCCGTTCCTGTAGTGTTTTCGATTTTGGTGCATGTAAATGGTCTGCAGAGGCTGGAGCCACACGAGGACGATAACGCAAACGGACCGACAATCGTTATCAAAAAAGTATTCCGTCCACACGCAACAGGCACCAGAAACGTGTCCGTTCACACGAGACCGCTCGAAAGGTAATTAAAATAGCTAAGGGTGATGATCTAACTTGAAGTGTGTGTTTTGTTCCGCTCATCGCTCCATCACAGCGGGCGGAGCTGCAGGTTATCATGCAGAGCTGCGTGTCTCCTCTCCTGTCCGATTAGACTTCACTCACGTTTATGTCCATATCGATCAAATCTAGCTGGAAGCTCCTGCGAGATACCGGGACCTGGCTCGAAACACTGGGGCTATTGCGTCATCGTTATCAGGAAATGATCGTATAGGCGTAAACACGGAGCCGTTTGCCCCCCAGAGCGTTTCGTTCGCAGATCAACCCACCTTGGGACCCGTTATCGTTTCCTTGTGGCCGAACCGTCTATCTGATAGAGAGCTGTAGCAGATACGACCGTTATCGTCCTCGTGTGGCTGCAGCCTAAAATATATCGCTAGGCAGTCTTTTTTTATCTCTTTGTATCATGGATCAAACAAACATTGTAGATAAAACCTTTTTATTAAGTTACACACAGTTTAGAAAAAGAATGCTTTATCATTAAAAACACACACATATTCATCTCAGCTGTTCCTTTATATAAATATATATATACTGCTCTGTGAATTTTCTTTACCTTATTATAGTGGTACTTTACAAACATTACACACACAAATATATTCTTTATGTAAATTAAAGATTCCCTTTAGAGACAGGATATGATTGCTTTTACAGACATGTTTAACCTTTCTGAGGCAGCAGCTGATCTGTGGTCAGACTAATGAAGAAGGTCAATATATTAATCTGGACTTCAGGTTAAAATGACACTGCAGACTCAACCAGAGTCAGGACGTTAGCCTAGCTTGGCATGAAGACTGTAAGCAGATGGCCTGGCTCTGTACAAAGTTAAAAAATATATTACACCTCTTAAATCCACATTGGTTCCCACCACAATGTAGATTTTGGATTATCGCAGAAAATAAGATCTTCAGCAGGATAAACTCCACATATTAACACCACTGTATGATTTTTGAAGTAAAAAGCAAACGTTAGGTTATAAACTACAGCAAGGTCACATGACTTCACGTCACAACCACTAAGATAAAGGCAGCTAATGTTGGGCGTGATGACGTCTAGTCGTAGAAAACATCAGATCTTATAACCAAAAACCATTTACTTCCAGATTGGGAAACAGGAAGTGCTAAATTGCTGACTCATATCAGGGATTTTTGACTCATTCCCACATGATTTTTTGATCAATGTTGCCTTAAAGGTTTGGTATTTGAATCTTGTACAATAAAGTATCTCTTTGGTCCCCAGCGCACTCAAGTGGTGAAGTGCCGCAAAATCACTTAAATACATGATGTACAAAAACCTCCTGAAACTGTTTTCGGATACACACTTTAAAGGTCACCTATTATGCAAAATCCACTTCTTCATGTCTCTTCTACATCAACATGTGTCCCCTCTTCTTCATGTCTCTTCTACATCAACATGTGTCCCCTCTTCTTCATGTCTCTTCTACATCAACATGTGTCCCCTCTGTGTAAAGAGACTCTGAAAGTTTCAGGAACAAAGATTCTCTCTCTTTTTGTCCTGAGCCATTTATATAAAAACCTGTCTGAAAATGAGCTGATCAGATTTTGGCCACTTAGTGATGTCATAACGATTTTTTGGCTTGTGTAACCATTAGCCAATCAGCAACCAAGGTAACCCCCCCCCCCACCTTATCACCTGAATCTCCTCCTAGAGCACCATTGAGTTCTTTGTAACCAAATCTCTCTCAGAGGGGCGTGGGGAGGGGCTCCTTATTTTCATCTAAAGTAACAGACAGAGAATCAGCACTTTTGAAACAGGGCTGAAACAGAGGGGATTATGGGATGCTGCAATGATCTGTTTGGTGTTTCAGCCAAACACTTCAGAGACATGTTCTGTATATATCTGAGACCTGTAATATATTGATGAAAAACAGTATAATAGGGGACCTTTAAGTTGTTTTTGTACTGTATTAAACCTTATTTAAATTTGACGTTTTTTGAGATTTTGCAATTTAATCTCATTTTGTACAATAAAATCGATTTAAAAAAGTCTGTTTTGCCCACAGCGCCCTCAGGTGGTTTGGTGCAGCAGCAGCACGTTGAACACGGTGTCCCTTGACTCCCTCAACGATCCTTCTTTTATCTCCAGCCTCACCTCCTCCCCCCTCCTCAGAGGCAGGACCACCGCACCGGTGACGGGCCCCTCTGTGCCCCCCCCTCGTCGACGGAGGGACATCGGCACCCCCCCTGCCCCCCCCCCTCCTCAGCATCACTTGTGTGGGTCCAGGTCTCAGGTCCAGGGTGAGGGAGAACAGGTAGACCCCGCTCAGAGGAGCCGTGAAGACGCCGCTGTCGGAGTAAACCTGATCGCGGTTTAAGGACGTTTCAAACACGAGGACGCTGGAAACGCTGCGAGGAGATCCGGCCACGATCAGCAGGGAGGCCCCCGAGAGGCTGGAGGGGACCGGGGCCACAACTGGAGAGGAGACAGAGTCTGGTTTAAATTAAATACAACAAGAGAAACATTCAAGGATTCAAGGATTCAAGGATTTTATTGTCACTTGTACATAGCTACAGTGTAGTTATGACGGTCACAGGCTCCTCCTCCAACAGTGCAACACAATAAAACAGATAAAATAGTGCAAGTAAACAAACACTGAAATAATACGAAAAAAGGCAGAGTTGGAGCGGAGCCAAAGACACGGCAGCCACCGGCGCCATCTTGCTACATAGATCTGATACAAGAAATAATCATACTGACAGATCTTTTATGGGAGAATACCTTCATTTTTTTATATTTATGACATTCAACATTAGGATTTTTGATACTTTACTGACTTTATTTAACCGACTATATTATGATGTTATGTCTCTTCCTCTCACCTGAGTCTTCCCTCCTGCTCCTCTCGTGTCCTCCCCTCCTCCTCTCCTTCCTCCCCTGTTTCTCCTTCAGCAGACGCCACAGCTGGTCGAGCTGCAGCGATGCGTCGGAGCTCATCAACACATCAGCGTTACTGAACACGTTCTTGAAGACCTTCAGGTGCTCCTCCAGGCCTCTCCTCAGCCACTGCACCTCCGCCTGCAGTTTGGCCTCCACACCAGCGGGGGGCGCCTCCCTTTCCTCCTGCAGGCTGAGCAGCTTTAACCCCAGCTCCTCCACCCTCTGCTCCAGCTTCCACAGGTCTCCCCCGTCCCCCCCGGGCTGCAGGAGGAGCTGCTGACGCTCGCGGGCTGCAGATCCTGAGCTGCTCCTCATGTCAGGGAGGGGGTGTGAGGATGAGGAGGATGAGGAAGATGATGAAGGCTGGTCGGCAGACGGTACCTCCTCTCTGTCTCCTGGGAGCAGAAGAGACAAATACATGAGTCCAAAGCTGCATCCCGTGTTGCTTAACGTGCATCCACTTTTCCCTCACTTTTTTCCTTGCGTCTTAGTACATCACACAGTGATACACGGAGAGACACAATAAAACCACGATAAGAGAGGAAACAAGGCGATGTGTGTTAAAGGTCCCCTATTATACTGTTTTTCATCAATATATTATAGGTCTCAGATATATACAAAACATGTCTCTGAAGTGTTTGGCTCCAAACACCAAACAGATCACTGCAGCATCCCATAATCCCCTCTGTTTCAGCCCTGTTTCAAAAGTGCTGATTCTCTGTCTGTTACTTTAGATGAAAATAAGGAGCCCCTCCCCACGCCCCTCTGAGAGGTATTTGGTTACAAAGAACACAATGGTGCTCTAGGAGGAGATTCAGGTGATAAGGTGGGGGGGGGGGGGGGGGGGGGTTACCTTGGTTGGTGATTGGCTAATGGTTACACAAGACAAAACATCGTTATGACATAAAGTGGCCAAAATCTGATCAGCTCATTTTCAGACAGGTTTTTATATAAATGGATCAGGACAAAAAGAGAGAGAATCTTTGTTCCTGAAACTTTCAGAGTCTCTTTACACAGAGGGGACACATGTTGATGTAGAAGAGACGTGAAGAAGTGGATTTTGCATAATAGGTGACCTTTAAGAGCAAAGAGACGTCCTCAAGAATCAGCCTGCTGCTTCATATCTAAGAAATAAATAATCCCCAAATGCTGAAACTCATGGTACTTGTACTTTACTTTGATATTTCCATCTTCTGCTTCTTTACACTTCTGCTCAACTACTTTTTACTGCACTATGTTTATATGACAAGGAAACATACTCCCTCTACAGGAAAGGGAACACCACAAAAAGCATAATAGGGCCTCTTTGAGCACAATAATTATGTTTGTTGTTATTGATGCATAAATGATGTTTAGTCGGTAAAGACTGCCCTTGATTAAACGCTCCCACCTGGTTTGCTCTTCCCTCCCAGCTGCTCCTGCAGGACCCTCAGCTGCTCCTTCAAGGATGGGATTGAATGTGCCTCCTGGTCCTGGACGGGCCACTCCAGGAACTCCATCACCTCCTCCCCCAGCAGGAGCTCCAGGACGTCGCTGTGTCTGATGGCGTCCGTCAGCAGAGACTTGAAGGAGGCGGCGAGACGCTGCTGCTCCTCGTCCAGCCGCTCGTCCTCCTCCTGCAGCGCGGACACCTCCGTCTGCGTCTCCGTCAACAAGCTCCTGATCCGGGTCACGCTCACCTCCAGGGCCCGGCTGTGGATCTGCTCCGAGGACATGGACTCCTTCACCTGCAGCAACAGAGACAGATACATTTTTCATGTACTTTATAGTTTTTGCCCATTTTGCAGACAGTTAAATTGGAAATGAGAACAAAATAAATTCTGTTCGGAGGTCAGATTCAAACCCTGGTTGTTTACTAATAATGGAAAACTAACAATCAAAAAAAGATATCATAATAATTTAAAGGTCCCCTATTATACTGTTTTTCATCAATATATTATAGGTCTCGGATATATACAAAACATGTCTCTGAAGTGTTTGGCTCCAAACACCAAACAGATCATTGCAGCATCCCATAATCCCCTCTGTTTCAGCCCTGTTTCCAAAGTGCTGATTCTCTGTCTGTTACTTTAGATGAAAATAAGGAGCCCCTCCCCACGCCCCTCTGAGAGATATTTGGTTACAAAGAACACAATGGTGCTCTAGGAGGAGATTCAGGTGATAAGGGGGGGAGGGGGGTTACCTTGGTTGGTGATTGGCTAATGGTTACACAAGCCAAAAAAACATTATGACATCATAAAGTGGCCAAAATCTGATCAGCTCATTTTCAGACAGGTTTTTATATAAATGGATCAGGACAAAAAGAGAGAGAATCTTTGTTCCTGAAACTTTCAGAGTCTCTTTACACAGAGGGGACACATGTTGATGTAGAAGAGACATGAAGAAGAGGGGACACATGTTGATGTAGAAGAGACATGAAGAAGAGGGGACACATGTTGATGTAGAAGAGACATGAAGAAGAGGGGACACATGTTGATGTAGAAGAGACATGAAGAAGAGGGGACACATGTTGATGTAGAAGAGACATGAAGAAGAGGGGACACATGTTGATGTAGCAGAGACATGAAGAAGAGGGGACACATGTTGATGTAGAAGAGACATGAAGAAGAGGGGACACATGTTGATGTAGAAGAGACATGAAGAAGAGGGGACACATGTTGATGTAGAAGAGACATGAAGAAGAGGGGACACATGTTGATGTAGAAGAGACATGAAGAAGAGGGGACACATGTTGATGTAGAGGAGACATGAAGAAGAGGGGACACATGTTGATGTAGAAGAGACATGAAGAAGAGGGGACACATGTTGATGTAGCAGAGACATGAAGAAGAGGGGACACATGTTGATGTAGAAGAGACATGAAGAAGAGGGGACACATGCTGATGTAGAAGAGACGTGAAGAAGAGGGGACACATGTTGATGTATAAAAGACATGAACAAGTCGATGTTGCATAATAGGTGACCTTTATAGGAATGTATTTGTCCTACCTGTTGGAGGCCACGCTGCAGCGCCTCTACCGCCGGTCCCCAGTCCCCCCACCACTGCCCGGCCCCCACGCCACCCTCCTCCTCCAGGGCTACTCTGTTCTCATTGGCCAGCTCCGTCACATTAGCCACGCCCCTCTCCAGGCGGCGCACGGCGTCCTGCAGCCCTGTGCAGTCGCAGCCCGTGGTGGCGTTCTGTTTGTTGAAGACTATGAACAGGTAGTCCACGTCCAAGTTATTCTCTTGCAGCCTTGCCCCCTGCAGGCTGAGGTTTCCCTCCATCTCCCCGACCCGCCGCAGCACCGTCTCCCGCGCCGCCTCCACCTCCAGACCCGTCATCATGAACTTAACCTGCCCATCGCGAGCTGTCTGGTTGATGAGCGTCTCCAGATGCTTGTTTTTGCGCCACAGCTGCTGAATGCCGCCCGAGGCGGCCTCCATGTCCTCCAGCAGCCCCACAACCTACAGACAAACATTGAATCAACATTTATTAGCAGCAGAGGTGGGAAGTAGAGTACAAATAGGCTACTTTGTTACTGTTCTCAAGTACATTTTTCTGGTATCAGTACTTTACTCCACTACTTATTTTTCTGACGACTTTTTACTTTTACTTCTTACATTTTGAACCCAAATACCTGTACTTTCTACTTCTTACATTTTCCAAACAGGCTGGTTCCTTTAGTTTGAATGTGTGTTTGGTGGCGTGATCATTATTATTTAGAGTCATTGCGTGCCTATTGATTTGAACACGATCCGTGTATCCATCATTTCCTGGTCTTCTCTAAAGAAGAGGGACCAATGAAAACGTTGTCATGTTGCCGTTGTTCAGCATGGAAACATTCATTAGCTAACAATGACATTATTGTTCTATTAATATAAAGGGAGGTCAGGTACTCTTTAAAACAGCTGGTAGTTATGGGTACTTTTTACTTAAGTACATTTCAAAGCCCTTTTTACTTTTACTTGAGTAAAGAAGTTTAGTCAATACTTTCACCAGAGTATATTTTAAACACGAGTATCTGTACTTCTACTTGAGTGAAGGATACTTTTGCCATCTCTGTTTATTACCAGTTAGGTTTACACGTACGAGGAATTTGACTTGATGTCATGGTGCATACAAAAAAAATAACATTACAAAATATTTAAAATAATAAAGAATATAGTCAAATATAGCTGTATTTACATAGAAATAGAATGGAATAAAATGAAATAAAATATGGAATACAATCTGCAGTAATAAAAAAAGATAACAGATATTGTGTACATTGTGTGTATTGATGTCAGGTCATCTTGAAATCCTTTATTCTAAGTAATTTTGTCACTTTTATATCCGTTCTGCTATTTTTTACAGTCACCATCTACTGATTTGGGAAACATTTTCCATGACATCCATTCTCTATGACTTCCATTTTCTGACGCTCACAATTAATAGTTGGTTGGAGTCTTCGCTTCTTCAGATAGTAAGATTTGTTTTACATTTCCCACCATGCATTGCTGCGACTTACCTTCACCGTGTTGTTGACCACCATGTTGTCCAGGCGCTCGACGGCCTCCCAGAGCGCCGCCGTGTCTGAGGACTGCATCAGTGGGCGGCGGGTAGACATGGAGGGAGGAGGGGGGAGATCCTGTTCCTGGTCCTGGTCCTGGTCCAGGTCCTGGTCCAGGTCCAGGTCCTGGTCCAGCTTCAGCTCCGTCAGTGTGGCGTTCATGGCCTGTAGGCTGACCTGTGATCAGAGGCAATGAAGTAATTTGAGTATTAAATCATCTTTTAAACATTACAATTTTTTTTAAGACTTTATGAACATTAAAATAAAAGTGTGATTTCTCCCTTTATAGTAAGTAGAGTAAACAATATATTAATTAATTAAAAAAAGTGACAAAGCGATATACTGAAAATAATCAGTATTTATAGCCCTGATCCTTATTTATTTATTGTCTTTGTTTATTTTTGTTAATATCTTGACTGCTGCAGTACTTTACCTGTATTTTGATTTCCTCTTGATATATTAACTTTATGCACCAAACATTAACCTTCTAAGTGAATATCTTATTTGACAATAAATATCTTCATTCAGCTTGGAGCTGTCGCTGGGGTACACTGACCTGCAGCATCTTCTGGTTTCGCTTCAACTTCACGTCGATGTCCGTCTTAAAGTTGGTGAGGTTGTAGTGCAGCATTGCATGCTGGGAGTGCAGCCTGTGCTCCATGTGGCTCCGCTGGTCCTCTAACTGCCTCTGGACCTCCCTGATGTGATCCTCCAGTCTGGCCTCCAGGTGTTGCTCCGCGGTCTCGTCCAGCCCAGGGTTATATAGGGGCTCCGCCAGCATCTCGTCCCGCAGAGGGAGGCTCTTCAGCTGGGCCACGTCCCGGGCCAGGTCCCCCACCTGCCGGGTCAGAAGCTCCAGGGAGCGGTTGAAGCCCTGGAGGAGCGGCTGCAGCTGGGACAGGATCAGCGCCACCATTTGGGGGGTGGAGGGGGTGGAGGGGGCATCCAGCTCATCTACAACCAGAATAAAAACTAATTAATACACATTTCATCATGCTAATTACACGGATAGTTACTTATTTTCTATCAACCAGTCTTTTAACACTGCAAAACCGTTACCGTGTTCCATTCAGTGTTTACTATTTTCTCTCTTCTTCTGCTGATTTCTCTGATGTGTCTTTTAATCACTTTCCTACTCTTACGCTGTTTTCTCTTTCTGGTTTTTGTTTGGTTTTCTTTACTTGGAATATGTTCAGCAAGCAGGTATCGGAAGTTTCTGGCTCTCCAAATATATATAAATAAATATTCAAAAAGTATTTCATGAAAAAAATCTACTGCAGACAAAAATAGTATGAATGGACTGTGGTTACCTTTACTTATTATATTATAACTGAATGTGTCTGCTTTATAGGTCACTGGTTTGTTGTCAATTACAACCTTAGTTCTCTGCATTTTTGTTTGCGTCCTGTTGTTCCCGTTCCTGGATCGAGTCCATTTTATTTCTATCTTGGACTTCTGACCTATTGTACTCTGAATTATTTCGGCATTTTTTGCCAGTTATTTATTTTTTAACTGCTCTAAATCATCTTTTTGTACCTTGTTACATTAGTCTGTTCTCCGGTATTCTGCATATATCAACCACAAAAAGCAGGAGAGCAGAGGATTAACTATTGAAAGACTATTATAGATTTTAAAGAGTTATCTTACTCATGCTCTTAACTTTTACTTCCTACGACCTGTTCTTAATTTAGTTTGTCCTAAATACAGCCCTGCTCTGGGGAACCACTCAAATTACAATTTGCTAAAAACTCAAAAAAGTTTTTTGTCCAATAATTTCCAAAATAAACTTCCTCCCCAGTTTTAAGCCCCCAGAGTCATGCATACATTTAGCTTGCTGTATTTTTGTTTGACAAGGTCTACATGTAAAGTCACCATATTAGGATTCCTCCTTGAAACTTGATGAATAACGTATTTCTAATTCTGATTTGTATACACACACCCACACTCACAAAAAAACGAAACTAATCCTCACACACTCCCTGCTGATTCATGGCTCTCACGGGACCCGTAGTTTGTGGCTCTAAAAATGCTTTCCTAACTGGGAATATAAACACAGCACAGCCCTCCACCTGGAAAACACTAAAACAGCACCAAGGTTTCCAAAAACACTGATGTTGATGAGTTTCCATCAGGACAGACAGTCAGATATTAGATATATTCATCTCTGTTTGTGTGTTTGAGTGTTGGACTACCTGGAGGCATACTCCCAACAAAAAAAAAAAACGAAGTCATACAAAAACCCTGAGAGGCAAATAAGGACAAAAACAATTTGTTGACCAATTTTCTAAGTTTGATAGTTTTATCCCCCGTTTTTTTCACATGTAAAATAGTTTGGTAAAAAGGATAATTTGTTGTTTTTCTTTTAGTAACAATTTTTCTGTGGAAACTGTGTTTTTTATCAGGTGAAATTATCTTTTTATGTGTTTGTGGTTGTAATACTCATTTTGGCCACAAGAGGCTAAAGTGCAGCACTAACCCATGTTCTGAAAAACAAAAATGATCCATATTACATTTTATTGCATGCCCCCTAAGTGGACATATATATACTCATGTAAGTTGGATACGGTATGTGAAAAAAGATTACCTTGTTTCCACAGATGACAAAATAAGACAAACTTAGAAGAATTATCCTGGCAAAACCTTTTTCAATAAATACATCATAAACTTGAAAAGAAATGCAGGCAATCTGTTCCAAAACTATTCAGATCAAACTGAAATCACCAGATTTTTTTTCTCACTTGTCACTTTTGCATTTTCAGACAGATTTGGACGGGGTTAGGAATGTATCATGGAACTCAGGGGTCCCCACTGGTACAGGAAAACAAACAAAAGTGTGTATTTGCCTCAGGTCACTGCTGTCACTCTGGAGACACAGTCCAGAGACAGACACACACACACACACACACACACACACACACACACACACACACACACACACACACACACACACACACACACACACACACACACACACACACACACACACACACACACACACACACACACACACACACACACACACTTTCATCACAACCTGTTTTCATTACGACACACCAAACCCTACCACATGCTGCAGGGTCTTGAGGTCAAAGGTTGCAGTACAGTGAGGCCACACTGAAACTGGATGTTCCAGGTCAGTAGGTGTGTGTGTGTGTGTGTGTGTGTGTGTGTGTGTGTGTGTGTGTGTGTGTGTGTGTGTGTGTGTGTGTGAGTGTGTGTGTGTGTGTTTTGAAATCCGACAGACCCTGGTCAGCTGGCAGTGCTTCTATCTAATGACTGTCAGTGTGATTTACGGAGCCGAAGCACAGTCCACTTCCTGCTCTGACAGAACGACGTGTGCTGCACAACCGTGGCTCTGTTTTCTTCTTCTGGCGTTTTGTTGTAAATGTCACGATTTAAAAAAGGTAAGACGATACTTTAATGAGACACGTGGGGAAACAGAGACAACAAACAGTGGAGGAGACGGGAAACCTCAGTGACCCTCGCCTGGTTTGTCCACTAAAAGGAGACTTCGGGTGAGGTTGAATGAGGTCTTTCTCCATATCAGTGTATTACCAGCAGGAAGAAAAGCAATGCACTGCTGTGGGCCTATTTTAGGCACCTAAAAATGTATCTCTGAGTTTAAGTGAACACTATTTTTAGAATATTTTCACCACTTAACATTGCTATCAGACAAACCTTTCCAATTCTATTTTTGTTTCAAAGCCACCAGACTCCATTGACAATAACAGTCATTTTACCTTGAAGATAGACAGGAGTTGATGGTGTATCACCAACTGGTTAGTTAGTTTGGGTTATTGTGTGAATTTGGTGAATCTGAACTAACTGTTTAAACTACAGTACCAAAGTCACACAAAAGCACAAACAAACTAACTTGTTGAGTCAGTGATACATTAGCAACTCCTGTGTCCTGCAACGTACACATTACTGATTTTGTCAATGTAGTTTGGTGGAGAAATATTCTAAATATTGCCTTTTATAAACCCTTTTTTTTTTAAACAACAGAACACAATATTCTCACACTTTATGATCTCTTCAAAGCCACCAAAGTCACAAAATAACATCATCTATATAACTGATTGAGGCAGCAATGGACCAGCATCTCCTGAAAATCTGTGAGGTAAAATTGCTGTTTTTGTGAATGAAGTTGGTGAAAGATTTTCCAAATATAGCGTTCTGTAAATCCCTTTTTTAACGTAGAAACATCCAAACTATCCCTTTAAGAGCACAATTATGCTTAAGTATTTATAGAAAATACCTACATCTAGAAAACTGACTTTGAGGGACAGATTGAGCTGTTAAAATAAAAACTAAATCTGCAATATTTTCCTTTAAGGATGATGTAATGTTGGCTGGTGAGAGTGAGGTCACAGGTCAGAGAGAAAACAGAGCATTGTGGGAACATCAGAGCAGACCAATCCCAAACAAGGCTCATACAGGACGGATGTGTGTGTGTGTGTGTGTGTGTGTGTGTGTGTGTGTGTGTGGTGTGTGTGTGTGTGTGTGTGTGAGTGTATGTGTGTGTGTGTGTGTGTGTGTGTGTGTGTGTGTGTGTGTGTGTGCGCGTGCGTGCGTGTGTGTGCGTGTGTGAGGGTTTGAGTGACGTAATACACATTTTGGTCGGGTTACATAAAGTGACATCTTAAAGTTCCCCCCAATCACACACACAGACACACACACACACACACACCACACACACACACACACACACACACACACACAC